TGTACGAGGAGGCATACTATGATACTCTGGAGCAGGAAGAAGACGACAGGATGAGCAGGGAAATGGCACTAGAGGCTCTGTACGAGGAGGCATACTATGATACTCTGGAGCAAGAAGATGACAGACCGGTTTGACCAACACAAAATGTACGTTTACCACCATCCTCACAGCTCATAAAATGACACAGCAGATACCCGAAGGTTCAATCCGTCTACTGACATTCAATATTCGCCGATCAAGGTGAATGACGCGATCTTCGAGCGCGTGGAGGCGGTTGGCAAGATTATTGGGATTTCGATCGACAGCATTCAATCGTTGGTTGTACTCAGCGGCTCTGTCATGCATGTCATGGAGACGTTCATGAAGGGCTCGGACGTGCTCGCTGAGACTATTCGGACTGCGGTCAATGGCACTGAGACGAGGACTAAGACCTCGAAAGCCGTGGTCGAGGTTGTGGACGCTTTGTTCAAGCTCTCCAAGGCGCTCGTCGAGATTGTCCGAAAGTCGATCAATATGGCTGAAGCGTGGACTAAAACCGTTGAACCCTTGCGTCAAATCTTCGCTTTTTGGTTCGAGGACCCCGAGGCGCTCACTAAGGCTGCGGGGATTGCGGTCGACGCCGTTGAGGCGGTCCTCAAGGTTCCTGAGACGTTCATTCAGGCTGCCTGGATTACGATCGATTTGGTCGAGACGGTGCCCAAGATTGTCGAAATCCTGACTGAGAATATTTACCTTTTGCTCGAGACTCCTTAGACGGTCGCTAAGACTGTTCGGAGTGCGGTCAACAGCGTCGAGGCGAGCGCCAAGAGTGTTAAAGTTCTCTCGCAGACGACCAAAGCTTTGGTCCAGGGTTCCAAAACGCTCGTTGAGACTATTGGGATTGCGGTCAATATTATCTAGGCGTGTCCCGAGGCCGGCGTTAGACTGTCTGAGAGTGGTAAACTCCAACTCTAGCGCTCTGAAGTCCTCACCCAGTTGCCGAGTATCCGCGAGAAAGCCTTCGAGGCGATGGTTGAGATTGTTGGCGAACGTTGTGAGCCTATCGCATTAATTAGTGATTCACGAGGAGACGGATGACTCTAGCTAACAATTCTGCCATCGCTCCTTAGTCATATCTAGTTTTCCCGGGGCCAGGTATTGTAAGGACTCAGTACTGAGATTGGTGTACCAGAGACGGACGGTACTTTGATGTTAGATCGTCTATGAGGCCGATTAAGCCATGACTAGGAATGGCACGAGTGACAACCCGTCTTACCCTCAGGAAGACAAAATGAACGTCTGGTCCACACAGTATTTGATTCGGTGCCTTCGCGCTGCTTGTCACACCTGGTAGTGGTGCAGGCCAATAATCGATCGACACGTTCCGAGCCGCCACTTAGATCTCCATTAGGGAGTGAACCGTCCGTTACGTCGATGGGAAGAATTACAACAGCACCAACGATCTTTCAAATGGTCCAATAGACATAGCACTTCAAAAGTTGAACTTAGCTGTTATTCACAAACGGTTGATGCTGTATTGAATAGTTCTTAATACACAGGTGCATATGAGGAAACACTAGAACAAGTCTGGCCGGGCGTGTTCTGACCTGCGATGAAAGATTATGAGGGAAACGAGCGGCCTCGCTCAGCGTCATTGCCCATATCACTGGGCCATTAATGAGGGTTCAACTCCAGAGGCTGAGGTGCGCTGGCGTGGCCTCACCGGTTGCCTAGCTGGGTTGAAGCCAATACTGACTAACAATACAGTATTGAAATATCGGTCCTGTACTGGAACAGGAGGTGTGATCGTTGGAACGGAGGTGTTCCTCATGCGTCAACTGCCGCCATGACCTTCCCACCAACTAAGATCAAAAGGGCTTCATTGTGTCACGTGACGCATTGATCCGGGCCTCTCCCGCGCTCGCCTGAATTGGGCAAGGCGCCTGAGTGAGTGTCATTGTCTTATTGCACACCTCGACAATTTTACAAGATAATCTATAATCCCCGTTCAACTGTCCTAGGGGAGCTGGAATGGCGATTAATCGTATTAACAGACTCACGGAAGACTATTTCCAAGTATGTGCGTGCAGCTGAAGCCGGCAAAGAACTTATCGCTTACCGTAATCTAACTATGCAGGTTAGTATTTACGATGACAATCTCAGCTCCAACGAGAAGCGTGAATCGTTACGCTGCTGCAAGCGGCTTATAACAAATGCCGGTGGGGTTGTTCGTGAGGATTTAGGCGCCGTCTTAGGTCTCATCCTGTGCGCTCTTCCCAGCTCTTGTCGCAATTTGGAGTCAACCCGCTAATATCTACCAGATTCACCTTACCTGACGACGTAGCGAATCCGATCAAGGAGGACGATGAAAAATTCAAGGGCAAAATCTACACCCGCTTCTGGCACAAAACAGGCAATACGCGAGGATCGCACTAGGAAACTTATGGAAGCCCATGTCCTTTGCTGTGCTATCGGCTTGTGATGATGAAATGTCACAATCGGATTAAAGTATTTAATGTCAATGTATCATCTAGTCTGTTTGGCGCTATCGCGCGTAGTCGAACACCAGGTGTGTCTTTCCGGCGCTGGTTAGTTCCCCACAACATGTGAAATGGTTAACAAGTTGTATCGCGTACGGTGCGCTTCCGGCAGCGAAACAGTCATCATTCGGAATATGAGAGGTCGTTTGCGCTACATCTACGCTGGAACTGGGATCGTAGCAAATAAGGTAAAGGAAGACGTCTCTCCATATGTGCCCAAATTGTACAACCAGAGTCGCCCTTCGCCCTTCGCCCTTCACCCCATTGTGCGTACAATAATATTTTGCATCAGTACATCTGAAACACTGGTGCTAGCTTCCGAGAGTACTTACCCGGATTGCTCCTTCTGCTGTGCTGCTCCTGATACTGTGCTTAAGTTATACACGTACACTTCCGAGTTCAACACCGACTCATTTCGTAAGTACTGCAAGCAAGCAAGAAGTTGCCTCTCATTGCCAACCCGAATCCGATCGTTCACCATGAGAAAGTCTCCGTCTCGCATACCGACTCCGGAATCATCCATTAGAAGATTGACCAGCTTCGCCCAGGACGGTTCTCCGGAATGGCGATCCATTATATCACGGATGGCGATGATGTCTTGCCTCAGGGCTTCGTTCACATACATCACATGGAACACCATCTCTGTGGTTGAGAATGAATCACCGGCAGAAAAGTTGTTATGAGGAACCCAGGACATTTCTTCTTCATCTGGAGATGAGGGTCTCACCACCGGGATCGGCTGAAACGATGGTATCGTACATGCTGCGGCCCTCGCGACACACCTTCCTGATGTGGTGGCCAACTCCGTGACTGCGGTCATGTCTTTTGACGCTCTGTTGAAGTTCTTTAAACCTGAGACAGATACACCAGCCGTTGAATCTGGGGGAACAGGGCGTCGGAGACCCAGACGATTTTGCAGTTCCTGTTTGGCTACTGATTCCATAGCCTTGCTCAGGTCAGTCACAATGGTCTTGTATTGTCTATAGACAGCTATGTCGGCTGCGGGTGGAGGTCTCCAGTTGAGATAAAGCTTCTGGTGACATGAGGACACGCTGAATGATAGAGGATGCCTCGCGAGAAACCATTGGCATAGAAAACATGATTTCTTGCTGACGCCGATGAAGCGGAAGGACGGTCTTCTCTTGGGGTTGCTGTCGTAGAAATTCAGGAGCTGCATCTCAGCATGAACAGGCAGGTGCAAAGTGCAAACATCTCGGAAATAGGCCTCTGGGTCCTGAACTCCCCAGACTTGCGCAAGACGAGATATATATTGGTTCACTTCTTGACCACTGGCGAGTCTTCGGACGACACTCGTTAACGGCATCTCTTTTCTCGAGCATGTGAGTCGGATTGTTGAAGGAGCTTGTACAGGTTCCACAAGCATCGGGTTGAATAGAGTCGAAAATTCAGATGCAAAGTGGAGGAAAGCCATCGAGGCAATCGCATAACGTCCGAGCTTGAAAATTGCGTAAACCCATCGGGGCAACGCAGTTGGGAATAAAGCTTGGAGACACGCCAGGTAAGTACGTCGAGCCTCCAAGGCCCACCGAATGTGATCGACCAGACTTTCGGGAGTAGGCTCTGAAGGAAGGTCTCGCATCGTGAAGACGTGCGCAATCCATTCTGGAAAGGTTATTGCATAGTCGATTTGGAGAAATGCCGATCCTGAACTAGAGCCCTCGATGATGTCCCTCACATCATCACCGACGCTGCGGATGTCTTTGAGGTAGGAACGTATTCTGACAACGTCTAGGCTGATGATCCGCACTAGGACCTCTGATTCTTTGTCGGATGCGGTGTACTCTGCGACAAGGAGCAACGATCAATCGTTGGTTTGTTTGATTTAATCGTGATACTTACCGCCGCTAGCAACGCCATTAAGAATCGTCATCAATTCCCGCAGCTCAAAAAGGGTAGATTTTGCGACCCCCTGATTACTTGCGACACGGACTATCGTTCCTTCTGGAAGGCCTTCCTCCAAACAAGCCGCAGACACCGTGTCGCCATCTTTCTTCCTTGCGCATATCAGGGCGAAAGAATCGAGAAACTTCCGTTTTAGAAGCCTCTCCCGGTTCTGTGCAAGTGTGTTTGAATCTTGATCGAGGCCATATGCTGTCGGTTCGCCACGGACTGGGTCGAGCAGGTGAAGTAGGGCTGCAGCTTGAACGAACCGACTTTGAGCGTTTCCAGTGACTTCATAAATCGGCATCGTGCTAAAACATATCGTTCCGATACGACGCGGACAATACGGTCTAGGTTTCGACAGTAGAGTGATCGAATTTTGCGAAACTGATGCCCGTCACCAAGAGGGGGGGACAAAAACGCACGGGGTTTGTTAGACCGAGGACTTTCGCGCTATATTATCTTCGAAAACAGTGCCCGATCTCTCCACGACAACGCCTAGTAATCGTTCTGACGACAGTTAGGGTAGTCTAGACGCTCTTGAATAATGAAATTATCAGGTTTTCGCTATATTAAAGAGTCAAAGTGGTGGTCAAAAGAGGTGTTGAAGTTAGTGCTTCAATCGGCTAATTATCGGTGCGTATGGAGAAGCTTAAATAACAGCATCCCCGCTCCTACGAGGGGTGAGTGAGAACAAAATTTGGCTGGGGATGCTGGTGATCGACACGTCGCTTTGCACAGGGTGCTTGCATGCATGACGACCTTATCAACAACTCGATAGATGGTTAATGCTCCCGTTGGCATCTTGATCAAGATGTGAGAGTGTGGGAGAGAATCCTCAGCAAGGAAATTCGGATGGGGAGGTCCGAAAACGCCTATTGGTTGTTTAGCTACTCAGGAAATTCCCATGTGTTGTAGCTGCGGCCGGGTAATTATCTATATAGACCAGTGGAGAGGACGATATCATGACAGCCTAAACGCCAAAATGATGGCTCTTTCCGTCTTGAGATGTCATCCATTAAGGTCGCCCATGTCCAGGCAGCCATCATGCGTCGCCAGGATCGTACATATCGGTCAAGCCTGGGGCCCCGCCACCATATTGGTCAAACCTTGGAAATTGAAAGTCGTGAGGGCCGCTGCCAACGAGAAACGGGGCCATGCCCTTGCTACGATCTGTGCCTGCCACCGGATACCACCGAATCCTTATTCGAAGGATTGCCCAAACGATCTCCAAGCCACACCAAGGGAGATTGAGCAAACGCTCGAGGGCATAGATATTGGGTGTTGGGAGACGGATATCTCAGAACCTTTGGCGGACATTCATCGTTGACTGCTCGATATGAAATGAAGTGACAAGAGGTTGCATACTGTAACTGGTCAGAACTTTACGCATTTGTGAGATCGGTTAGCTAATCACAACGCTAAGCCTGACCAGCTGTATCGCCACACAACGATCAGTTCTGCGACTGTCAGGAGCAAATCTGTCGAATGATTGCGCAACACGTTGTTACCCCGTTACCCCGTCACCTAAAGCTTCATTGCCCAACACTCGCATGAGAAGCCCGAATATGGGCCATGAGCCAGATCCTTCCAAACGGGTGATGGCATCTCGCTCGGTCATGCAGACGAAAGTCTTCCACCCTAGGTTTCAATCGAAGGCTCAGTTCTGCGAAGCTTCATCAGTTTGACCTCAATTGCAGTCATGAGCACAACTACTCTCCTAGAGTATCTAACACAACCAAATCCAACCCTGGATTGTTCGAAATCCTCGAAGGGGGCTAATTCTTTCAATGCAAGATGGGATCGCCTCACGGGGCTGGAGGAATGGACTGAATTCAACTATGAGACACTTATGCGGTTGTATGGGGATATCTTACAACAAAGTATCCCGCCTCTACCTGAGACGAGCCCTCCACTGACTGAACTGGAGAAGAAGATTTTCACTGAGAGGACCTTCGAAACCGTTCTTGAAAGGGATCTCATGCCCAAGGTCTCTGCTGCATTGCGCGTTGCTTGGCCAATCTTCTACTCAAGTCATGATCCTCAGGACGTCGCTGAGATTGCGAAAGGAGACAAAGCAAGAAGAGGAACAACGGAAGAGGACGACCGATATTACGCGGACTGGGCTGGAATTCGACAGTGTGAGATAACAGCTTTTGGCTATAAAAACTTTTGCCCCGGAGAAACCAAGCTCGCCTCAAAATGGAGCACTTCAAAAGAAGGTCGTCGTCGACCAGATTATACTTCGCCCTTTCAGCAGACTCAAACATACTGTGGCCGCCAGTGGGGTGTTCGTCAAGGGTACATTATCACGCCAGAGGAACTCGTCCCCATCAAGGTCTCGAGAGAAGTGATAGGACCAGGTCTGGCCGCCTTCAGAGCTTCCAGAAACGTGTCGCAGAACACGCGAGATCGAACATCACACTCACGCACTTTCTCCGCCGAGACGGTCAGTTCTGGTCTTCAAGCGATGTCTCTCGACACCGGATCTAGTTTCAGTGACGATGCGAATCCAAATATTGAGTACGGCCCGCTCCAATTCAAAAGTATCCCATGGGACGCCGCAGGGAAAGGGTTATTGACAGTAAAGTTGGCATTGTGGTGGCTGCATATGGAGACCAGAAAGGATCTTTCCGTTCAAGAGACCTACTCACCGTTGCGAGACCGAGGTGATCGTATCCAAGTATGCCCTTTATCCGAGGAGCTGGAGGGCTAGCGCTAATTGCTTCTACCTAGAGCACAAAACGGGCGAAGGAGAAAAGCAAGGGTTCTGGAAAGAAAGGTTTCTGACGTTAGGAATGACCTCTTGGGTGGATCCTCAAACCAGTCCAACACACCATAGACAGTCTCCGAGTAGAAGAGATTGAATTCGAATTCCGACCATTCCGGACATGGAGACGTCAAAGTGCATGAGAGGTCGACAATCTGTGATCCCCTGTAATTTTGAGGGAGAACATCATGAGGTAAAAGTCGTAGCTCCTTAGGGATTGCGAAATTCTTCAAAATTTGGTTGGTGTGGGAAGCGTCTGTCAACATTGGTAGGTAGTCTTTGACGATGACCCAACGGCTTAGACCTTCTCCATCGAAAACATCCCCGATATCCCTGAACTGTGCATCTGATAGCTTCATCCACCCATGACACCTAACCGCCCATGTCCCGTCTTTTCTAGCTGCGTGAAGTCGAGCGAATGCTCGGCTTTCGTTCGCAAGTGGAGAGGTATAGATTGCTTTCTCATATGAATCGAAGACGGGACCAGGTTGTTTCCAATACTTGAACTGCGGGACATATTAGATAGGTGGCACTGACCGTAGTGGCACATTCTCACCACTTTCAATGCATATTTGACGTTCTTGATGGTAGCAAGAAGTACCGCCCCGTGTATCCCACTGCCTAGCGGGCGGAGACACTGGATGCTCTCCTGATGATGGATGAAGCGCCGCAGTTTGTCCCCCATTGGCTTGGTCTTGCTTGAAGAGCCGAGTACTTCTTCTGAAAGGAAAATTCCAACGATATCATCCCCCATCAGCTCGGCATTTCTTACCATCGTTGCGGCATGCTTATTCATCTTGTTCTTCTGATTGCGAAATGAAGAATGATCTTTCTCTGGGGCTATTTCTAGCCATCGAGGTGGAGAGGGTCTCACGAGAGAAGTGCCGATTGCACAAGGATCGGGTGATCAAAAGGTGAATTCCGTGACAACAACTAGTGACCATGAAGCGCACGCTGTTGCGTTGTTGGGGATAGTTGTGAAGGCGCGTTCTGGCGGCAACCTGCTCCGGTGATGGCAAACACAAGAGGGGTTCCAATTAAGACGGAGCATGAACGGGCGCAAATCGCGTAGAGTAGTTGTTCGCTTCGATCGTCAAACATGAGGCAGAATCGTTGAAGGAGCAAAACAAGGTCGAGGAGATGGTGCAAAGAGCAGGCTCCAATCGTCGTCTTGGCGATTTTGCTCGATTTGTTCCCTTAGGCCCGAGGGCACCACGGGCGGCCGTATGGGGTGAATTCATGGGGACGTCACAGCCCTCAACTCGCTTTGTTGCGTATCCTGCTTTGAAGCGTCATTGGGCTCGTGGCTACGTATTCGTCGAGTACGACAGGATGATTTACTGCCGTCCTGCGTCTGGCAAACAACCACCGAAAGGACATTAATTCTAGAGACAATGGCTGCATGATTAGATTGTTCATGCATTCTCAGCTGCGGTGTCGGCCTGCCCAGAACGGCCAACTTGCTGCAGGTCTGATCAGAAATGTCAAGGTCCTCTGCTGATATTCATTTCGGCGTGCAAAGATGACAGACTGGAAAAAGAAACGGATGATGTAGGTGTAAGTTGCGACCCAATAGGGCTCAACCGAAATGCGCCTAGATGACCACCGTCAATCAGAGAGAGGCGTGTAATAGGCGGCATTGGCCTCTTCTTGGCTTGCAACGCCGCTGCAATTGCACGGGGCCGGATGTGGTTTAGGCGGTGACCCTCCTCATGCTTGGGAAGTTGATTGGATCAGTACTTTACTGCACGAGGACATGTGCGCACAATTCAGACAAATCCTGGCGGCATTTGTATTCTTCGTATCCGGAATCAAGTAGCCAGATCCGCTTCCCTCGTCCAAGGTAGAATTGAAAAGAAACTCGCAGGACAATTACCAAGTGCATAAGAAAACTATGCTGAAGAGTTGGTTCAAAGTCATTATATATCAAACTGAAGGTTTCTTTTTTGATTTAAAAAAAAACATCAAAGTGGCCCAATGCGAGGCAAACCTCTCCTCCTTTACCCCATGTGATCTTCAGACCGTGTCGATGAGGTTGCCCGTTGCTTGGATCAAAGTAATTGGAAAGCCTTACGATACCGGCTTCATGATACTGTACCCGTCACCGCCACAAATACCGAGAGAGGTCAAAGACCGAAGCCAGTTCTCATATGAACAGGTCCGTGGAACTGGTTTGCGCTAAAATAAACGCCTGGGTCTTTGTGATTGAAGCAATTTCGATGAGTAACAGTTGAAGATGCTGGGTGAACATTTTCGACGACATGTGTCTGTATATCTGTTCGCTTGCAATGATGGGTTCGAGGCTTTGCAATATGTGTCAGGAGACATGGAACATTGCCATTTGGCGACTTTGTGCAGTGTGGGAAGCGTCGTGCGGCAGGATGCTCGATCTTGCATCCACAGTAGCCCGGGTTTGGCATAGTGAGCAAAGAATGAAGGTCAACTTTTCCGTTGCTCAGTGTGGTTCGACTTGATGGTATGAGATAGAGCTTTAATATGAAAGTGAGCACGGCCTCGATTGCGTTCTGCCTGAAACAGGCGGTGGGACAACCTTGGTTTTATACCTTAATTTGAGATGGGCGGGGTGGTTTTCTGTAATGCATCCCTTCGTTTGAAGCTGCAACTGTAAGCCAACTATCGCTTTGATCAGGGAAGCTGCCTGAGAGCCCCGTATAGTAGTTGACGTTCCAGGCAGCAAGTGTCGCAACTGGATGACGGATGCGGTTAGCTGTCACATTTTGGTTGCTGGGCCAGAGGGGCAGAGGTGGCATGCCATCAGCTTTCCCCACCCTACCCTGGTATATTATGAACGTTCACCGCTTTCGAATGCTGTGTCGGGACTGCCCGCGCGGTCTCACCCAAGAGAGTTTTGGCCAGCCATTATCTCTCTGTACGCCATTTCATCTGTTGCGAGTCACCGAGTATGTCGTGGGACATAGCGGAGTATGTTTATTTGGATGGTAGTGCTGTGAACGAGCATATCATCGCAGTTGGGGGAACCGGTGTCGTGGTCCGCCGGGGATCCCACGCTGTCAAAATTCCGAGGATCTCGAGACTCATTGAGAGCGAAGGAGTGGCTCTCACTTCTGGAACCCTGACTCCTCCGGAAGGTGCCTACGACGAGCGCGCTGCGATGACCAAGGTTTTCCAGAAGGAGAAAGCAATACTCAGGAGACTCGGCAACTACAATGGGATCATCCAGTGCTACAACATTCTCTCTGATGACTGCTCGATCGAAATGCCTTTGATGGAAGGCAATCTGCGACAACTTCTTGGGGAATGTCGACCAACGCAAAAGCTGATACTGTCGTGGTTGCAGGAATTGGCCAACACCATCGCCTATATTCATTCTAAACGTGTTATTATCGCTGACATCCGTCTGGATAATATTGTATACGATAGTCACAAGACGATCAGACTTATCGACTTCTCCGAGTCAACACTCATGCCTCTGGACTGGGACTTGGAAGGTCATGATGATGCAGGGTTTTCAACTTATACCGACATCGGTCAATTCGGAGCGACAATGTTCGAGATGATAACTAGTCAACGCTGTGCTTTTGACATCTATCAAGAATGGAAGGAAGTAGGAGATTCAACTATCTGGCCCCGACGAGATACTCTACCAGAAACCGGTGGGGTTTGGTTAGGCCCTATCATCGAGAGATGTTGGACGAAAGGATTCGCGTCAGCCAAAGACCTGTCGGTGGTGCTGGGGGAGCAGGATCTTTGCGGAAAACAGCTCGAGAATTGATTGAATGCTGGGGGAGGCTGGGTGCTTGCGTGATGCCCCTCGAATCCCCATTTTGGTCTGCAGATATCGAGATCCACGAGACTGATGAGACTTCTTACTGACCATGGCCCTTGGAACACCACTTACGATGGATGGTGGACAAGCTAGAATGTCATGGATCTCACGGATGATAGTAAGGTACATTACACCGAGTTATCGCGGAAATGGCAGTACACTTGCAGAACACTTGCAGAACCTAAGACTATCGCCTCCCATTTGCGCAGCCTCCGGAATCGCAAATCTGAAGGACTCAGGACTGGCTATACCTTGCTTCATGACGCTTGTGCAATCTGCGGCCCCGGCGCCACCATTTTGTCGCGACCCTTGTGTTCAAGAGTCAGCCGCTGGCGAGCAGGGTGTAGAGACCGCTGTCGCGAAATTCGCTCAACCGTGCGAATCAATCTTCAGTGCGAATCTTTTGGCCGCAGGAATACCAGCAGTTGAGGACCTGCGAAATAGTAGCTGCAGACCTCGCTCGCAAGCCCATGGAGTTAGCTGCCCAAGGCGGGCAGCTGCTCCATGAGATTCTGAAATGACGGTTTGCGCAGCGCTAAGATTGGACCTGAATGTCAAGGCGTTCCGTGTAGTCCTGCGCCGCTGGAGGTGGTCTTATTCGGCTCAGTCAAGGCAGTACAACCACGCCTGCTGGCGAGGTCTTCGAAAAGGTTGCGGCGTAGATACAGAGAGCTGGCCAGTACGGCGAGGACAAAGTGTTTCCTCCGGCATTCTCCGTGCTACAAGTTCCACCAAGGTTCCGAAAGTTCCAAAACCTCACTCCATGTCAGTCAAGTCCCATCCAAAGGCCATACAGGAAGCGACGTAGCTGACGTCGTTGACGTCTACCGCTCATCTCTACTCTGAGAATTCACCCACACTTCTCCCAGATGAACTGAAATAGAAAAGCGCGAATGCAGTAGACCATCAAATCGAGACCCGAAAATCCGCCTTTCGACCTCAGCTCATGACGTATCTTCATTTTGCCGCGGTGCTGAGTATGTCAGAAGCTATGGCAGATTCGGTCGCTTTCTATTGTTCAGGGAGATACAACTTGAAGTGAACATGGCGGCGGCCCTGACGATGAGGGACCGAATTTGCTCGGGTAGACTTAATTGGCCAAATACCCGGATTTCCTGGACAACTTCATTCATGGAAGTAAAATCATTGTGCCAGCACTTTTGCATTAATGCTCCTAGCGGCAAAGATGCGACGTCGGGAAAGATACCCGCATCGTATCGATCGTGGATAAGCTTCCGACTGTCTTCAGATGATTCGAGCTCGTGGTAGGGAGGCCGCCCGGTTATAGTTTCGTATACCGCGCACCCAAACGCGAAGATGTCTGTCCCCACACTAGGTTCTGACGGTGGTCGTCGGTAGCTGAACCATTCATAGTAAGAGTCGGCTGGTCCGCCGTCGATACTGGAGCCTTCGAAGTCGATGATCTTCAGTTCGCCCTGCCTTGTCAAGATCATATTGTGACATCCAACATCAGCGTGGATAATATTGTTATCGTGTATGTACTGTAGTCCTTGGGCGGCTTGCGTCAACCATTGGACCTTCCTCTCCACGGAAATTAGGTCGGCTCCCTGTTGTTGTAGAATCTTTCGAAGGACCTGGCCTCGCTCAAGGAGGATACCATCGCCCACACTTCCGAGGTACTTAGGAATGTTCGGGTGTAAGCCAAGGCGTATATACACTCGCCGCTCAACATCGATCAGCTCGCGATCGTGAAAGTCTTTCAAGACTCGCTCGTCATCGATACCATAAGCCACGGATGATTTGCCGGATGCGAGGAACTCAAGCAAGTCCTCCGAGAACAGAGCGTTAACCGAGGTGCGATCACTATCCATGATGGCAGCGTACGAAAGGTGAGGTGGAAGTCCAAGAGGTTGAAAGTACCGTGTCGCTGTTGGGAAGACAATTTTCTGGACGCGCTCTCATTTGATGCCAAGCAACGAGTTGAACTAGCCCATTTTAGGAAAGGGTATTCCACAGCCAGAGCGTCGTCCGGAGATCGACGGTCCGTAATACCGAGTGCTCTCCACTGATTCATACGTACGGAGTAGATTTGAGCAAGTACATTACAGGTAGTAGAGACCAATGCGAACATTTGCATATACCCATCCAGTTGCGGTTCAACAAGACGTGCGAAACTTTCCATTCCAACCGCCAGACTTTCATTTGGCATTTCCCTCCGGGCTCGCAAAGGAGCGAATCCTCATACTACCTAGAACGTTCCACCTACTGGGCAGTGAGGACAACGGCATAAATTACTTCCATAAACGGGTAAACACTTACCCACTTGATCTTTGGGACCTCCATTACCATTCCTGAATCCCGGCAAAAAGGGCATGGCCCACCCTTTTGAGAAGGTAACATGTCGAGCGCCTGAACATGCTCCGGCTCGCGACAGGCTGATTTCGCTTTCAGCGAGGCCTCGCATCTGCTAACCACCCGCGTTTCACTTTGATGACCCGGGTTCTGACGGCATGTTACATATACTGCTCGTGTTATGCCGTAGACGCACATCTTGATTGCCGGGAAATGCTGTTTCAAGCCTATACGGTGTAGAAGAAAAGATGTATTTCAAGTTGACAGTCTTGTTGCTGCCGTGCAGTCGAACGAGCAAAGAGAAGGATGTTGGGTGATAGCCATGAACAGTCTGGATGCACGGCATATATACATGTACACCATCTGTTTGGCTCAGGTCTCTCCTGTGAGTTTGAGTCAGCTGGTGCACGGCTCTCTGGCACTCGGATTTCATGCAGCCCCATGTAGAAGCGAACAACCGCATATGCTGAATTCAGTCAGTGGGAGGAGAACTTGGGAATCACCTTAGAAAGAGAGCGTGATTGGCTAGGCTAGAACTTTCCCTGTGCTACAGTACTTTTAGGAACGCCAAGATTTCTCTGCCATTGTCCCATTCAAAGACTTGCGCACGCCAGGATAACCTACTACGAGTTAGATTCTGTCCACATGTGAGAAAATCTCACAATGATATTTATCCATACATCAAAAGTTGTCTGAGGAATGTGGAAATGAATCCAGACGTACCCTTGGACGGACATTTAGTGTTTTCTGATTCGTTACTCAAAATTTTCTATCGCCGAAGACAGTACTATGCCACAGTCCGTGCCATTGCGACGATGCGACAAGGAGTCCTTCGGAACGTTCCTATCAATCAGCTTGTCTCGCTGGCCTTCCTTTCATCGCCAAAAGACTTGAGGTTGTTTGGAACAGACAACCCTACCCTAGCTTCACTCGTCTTTCAGAAATATATATCCGATGGAACAAATGACCTATTTCACGATTGGCAACTGTTTTGTAAGTTGCTGGATGATCCTGTGCAACGGTCCGAGTGTCTAGTTGGTCTGTTATGCTTATCTATACCTATTTCCACTTTGCTGACGGATTAAGAGGGTGCCATTCACTTTGCCTTGGAAGTTATCCCTAAGGGATGGCACCATATATGGAGGATCCGCGGTTCCGAGCTCTTGTACCTGTTACAAGGCCACCGACATTCATCCGCCGACGATGATGATACCCAGTCCACCTCTCACTTGACTTCGTTGAACGCGGGTAGTCCTTTTGTCGCGGAGACGCCAGAAGCATCTCTATTGAGAGACGTCTTGGGTGGCTTTTTGCAAGTTGCAATGAGAACGAGTGAAAAGAGAAGAAAGGAAGAGAACAAACGATTTACCAGCGCTGTGCGCCTTCACTTCCCATTGAACAGTGGTGAAGACATGAAATTGGAAATATTCATCAACTCTTCCGCAGGACACGCCATTGTTCAAGCGGTTGGAGATGATGACTTGATGAAGGATATGCTAGGCAAATACCTGGCAGATGCTATGGAAGATAGTCTTTGGATACGGGGGGACCAAGCCATAGGAGCAACGCGAACACACGAAGCATTGGCTGTGATCCCCACTGAAACGAAGGACTGTCGACTGCTTATATTGCTCCCCTTCTTGAAAGGCAGAGAGTTGTTCGAGCGCCTCTTTACTGTTTGACCAGTTTAAAATCCATGTCCATGATGAGAACACCATTTTCGCTTGGAAGAACTTTATCTTCTTGTTGCACGTTCGTTTTCTCCCGGACAGTACTGCCACGTCCCCAAGCAATTTCACCGCTCCCCGCCTTCCATGACATGAGTCGATTATATGGCACAGGCTTGAAGTGTTGATAGACGAGATATTCGTAATCGCCGTTGGTCGTCCGATCCTTCTGTCACAATATTAGCCCCGTTGCGGGCTTCCGGGGGATCTTACCTCTGGCATGGGAAGGCGTAGTTGCAGGTACTGCGAGTTTCAGGTTCGAAATGTAAAGTCGTCGCGTTGCTAAGGAGATAGGCGTCGAGTGGCTATTGTGGGTGTTGATAAAGAGTAGAAAGCAAGGTGGCTGACTTGAAATGGAAGCGACCTTCCCCGAAGCTGAGATTCAAACTGGGCCAGCAGTTGAAGAGGTTGGGCGTCAAGTGGGGTCGCTAATTCTTTCCACACTCGGGAAAAGGCTCTCAACCCAAAGAATCTAAAATTGGACTAACATCCAAACCTTGGACTAACATCCAAACCTTGGACTAACATCCAAACCTTGGACTACCATCCAAATCTTGGACTAACATCCAAACCTTGGACTAACATCCAAATCTTGGACCAACATCCACATGCTGGACAAACATCCAAGCTTTGGATAAACATCCACGTGTTGGACAAACATCCACATGTTGGACAAGCATCCAAGTGTTGGACGAACATCCAAGATTTGGACAAATATCTCAGCGCTGGACTAACATCCAAATCTTGGACTAACATCCATGAATAAACAAAAAGTTATAGATTTACATTCATCACAGCTAGACATTTCTCCATGGCTGGATATTTGTGCACAATTGATTCTGATGGACGGCCCAGAGATTTGAAGGAGAAAGTAGCGTTTGTAACCTAGCTGAGGCGACATCTCAGTAGCTAGTGCTAAGCATTATCATTGCTTTGTGCCCCGATCTCGATTTGCACCGAGCGGTGCCTTCCAAGGATGAAGGTCGCCAGGAAGCACACTCAAAGTCATGCAAGTCAAGTCCAGATGAAGTCCATGCCATTTCAGCCGACATAGATTGACCTAAGTTGGCCCAAAATCTCGCCACACTTTTCGGTGATCTTTGAAGCTCGTGTCTGTTGCGCAATGGCTGAGGAATCTGCAACCAAGATTATCATTCGCAAGGCGCGTCCGACCTCTTTTTCCAGCAATCACGTTGTTAGGATTCCATATGCTTGAAAAGGCTCGTCGTCAGGTCGTTTAGGTTGAGGAGTGCATGCATATCGTCCTGCATGACGTGGTCACGTCTCCCCAGACTATTGGAGCTTCCTGGCTTGATCTTGATGCTCCGCGTCTTCGCTAGGCCATGCGATACATGCATTTCATCGACGGCTACTAGCGTTGGAGCGGGACAGCCGAAGGCATGGATCCTAGTAGCGGCCCGAGGCCTTGCGGACAAGGTCACCAATTGTGAGGGCTCCTGTAGGAGATTCAGATCAGGTTTCGTTCGCCAGCAGTAAGACATCTCTGTTGGTCGAAAAGTCGCCGAGGAATGCAATGTACCTGCTGAAGCTAGGATATCTGACGGGATATCTGACGGGACATCAGGACCATCGACATGTTATATGAGCTCTCCTGCTCATAGTTTCGAGAGACGCCTGGATCTTGTTCAAGTTGCTCTCGACGATCACCCTCTCTCCATCAGCACTTCTGTAATCTTCCTTGAAGGGGGTCTTCCTCGATTTTATCTTTGAGATTTCTCATAATTTACTCTTCAACATGTCCAGCAGCAACCCCAATCTTCAAAACACAACCTCCCAAAAAGTCGAACGGACGACAAACAGCATCAACACAAAAGATGACAAGAAAGACGAGAGTTCTCAAGCCTCCAAGGTCAATGGGGGTGGTCACCAGGTACGGACCTTGCCACCGTCTCATATTTCAATGATGAATTCGGCCTAACTTATGTCCCAACAATAGCATACAAACGATGTGGAAACAGTGACTTTCTCAGGAGTGATGACGCAGGAAGTTCGCCGAAGGATTGGGCTGCCAGAACAAAAGTGAGGGTATACGGGTCAGTATTTTCTTGGAAGCATGTACTATGAATTCCTCTCAGACAGCTATACGATGAGAGCCTTTGAGTCAAACGGCTTCTGGAAAGAAAGAGCCTCGCCTTGGTCATGCTCGTACACTTTTATAGCAGCAGGTATTTTCTGCGGTAGATAGTTAGCCTGGGCCACATTCGTGGTGCCGCTATAAGCAACGGCGGCCTATCACAATACCTATCTAGCCACCTAAGGTTAGTTTGCAGATTTTCGCCATTGTTTATGTGTCCGTGGGTTCACATCAGTTCCGATTCAAGTGTAGTAGGCAATCATCGCCATCAGATATAAATATCAGTCAGGACACTTTCCAAAAGTACTTCTCATCGAGCGCTTCTCATCCAAAATTCTCGACTACTTGAAAGATGCGAATCATCGAGACTGACGATGAATTTCGGCGTGCGGTCGAGAGGGTCATACTACGGGCTGAGGACTTGGTTCAGGAAATCGATAAGGACGGCCATTTACTACAGCAATGGAGTTTACGAACCTCGCCGGACTTGAAGACCGTCGGACCCGAGTCTATGGAAGTGCTGCGGCAGCTCAATGAAAAATTTGTGCGTTGGACATGCATCTGTTCTTCTGTCGCTGACCCCAAGCAAGCTCCCTGGAATTGTTGACGAATATAGTCATGAAGGGCGACTCTTTAGTATGAAAACCATTCCTAAATGGACATGGTTTTCGAAGGGTATTGCTGCTCGAAAGAATCAAGTGATTATAATAGTAAAAACACGAACCCCCGCATATTCTGAACACTTGACGCAAGAGCCCTCCCCACTCCTACCAGCCTATACGACAACTGACCCCACAAAATTGGAAGAACCTCCTTCAGTAAACCATGAGCGGATATCGAAAGAAATCACCAAATCAATACCGACGGCACAAAAACCAACGACCACAATTCCCCTCCGAACGCTAAGGGAGCAGTGCTATGGCGTCATCATAGACTCGAATCGCAAGGACCACCCCCTTGAGTTACGAGTTGGTGATATTCTCGTTGTTCACGATCACGAGGGTTTTGTTCTGAAGTCTGGGGGTGTTAGTGGAATCGTCATGGAATTGACAGACATGTGAATAGAGATACCACTTTGTCCAATTCAGAATCATTTTCAATGAAACCCTCCTCGAAGTTGACCTTTTCGACCTGCTCAAACATACGAATCCAATCAGCCGTCGGAGGATTCCAAGGTTCCCCTTCAAAGCATAACGATTCTACATGCTCGAACATAGATTGCCAATTAGGCGTGCTTTCATTTCTTCCCCCTAGTAGGCTATCTTCCGGCCCGCTTGCTGAGGATTCCGTGGAGTGATCACAAAGCTGTTCTCCATGTACAGACAGTTGCGCCGATAGAGAATGTTCGCTAACTGGACCAAAATTTCCAAAGCTGGTGTACGTCGCCGTATGTAGAATGTTGTTGCTGGCGCCAAGTTCGTTACTAATAGGGTTGCCTACCGTGATATCATTGAACGGCCTAATGTAGGGGACCATCAAACCTGGGTCCCCGTCGGCAGTGTCTGCGTCGACACGACGCCGTTTAGTTAGCACCGGTCCGGAATCGCTGTTTTCACGATTATTGTTGGAAATGCTGGTAGATGTCATGGTCATTGGGACGCTTAAGATATTCGTAGAAGGAGTTATGATGTGCCTCTGGCCAGCGATCGACGTCGAACTGTCGATTATGACTGTGTGGTCCTCGTCGGATTGATCTAAGGAGGCCGTCCCAGATACCCACGGGGAGCCGAAAGCCCTAGTGTCGCCCGAATTCATTGCGTGAGATAGGCCAGGGAATTCTCCCGACCCAACGGTAAATTGATCCTGTTGGGAGGCCTTTCCTGGAGCGTGCCTTCGGTCCTCATCAACAGGAGGTTGTCTTGTGGAGCAGTTCTGAAAGACATCTGAAACGGTCATCGACATACTCGTCGACTCATCAACTTGAGCTCATTAGCTAAGGACATTTGACCTGAAGATATAGCATACCCATACCCCGTAGCGCAGCCGCAGCCAGTAACTCGTCAACTCTCCCCAAAACAGGGTCGGGGATTATCACGTCACCTTGCCGGATCATGTTGCTGATAGCAGGTTGAGGAAAGGTGGGATCATCGGTGTCTGAAAAACAATTCGAGTTATGTGGCGATGTACGTGAACTCGAAAAACTGGTCCGGGGAGTGAATGAAGAGCAAATTTCTCCATTTTCGGTCACCTCTTCCTCAGTCTCATCTTCAAAGTCCGACTCTTCATCCCCATTTTCGCTTTCATTCTCCAAATCTGCCTGGCCTTTTCCATCCACTTGGGATAATATTTGTGATGTGTTTTCGAAGAGTGCCTTAGAAATTTCGCTATTGCTGTCATATCTTCAGTTGTCGCACATCAACTGGAGAAGAGTGGTTACCTCAACCCTGTCCTCTCACCTATGGCTTGAACAGGACCATATATGTCTGGATATTTATCCAAAATCGTCAAATCTTCCTCTTTTAGATCAACGAGAACCCATGATACAATGGAGTCAAGTTGGGCGTCGGAAAGACCATCTCGATAGACAAAATAGTAATTTTTAACTGCAATTAATCAGCGAGCTCACAGAGAAACTCGATACATACCTCCGAGAGCAGCATATATGAGCCGCGGGTGACTCGGAAGTCGATAGACGATCGTGTTGGCCACTCGAGCCAGGTCACGCCGGCGCTGCCGGTGCTTTCGGATTGTGGCACCCGCCCGTGTGCTCACTTGGGTTATCGAGTGTGCTACTGATCGCCGTGGAAGGAAATCGGCAATGCTGTCCAGAGCACCAGCGCTGAAGTTGGCACACCACACACGGAAGTTCGAGACGGTGATGTCCTCTTGATATCGTTGTGCATCCTCTAAGAATGAGCCCACAATAACGTCGTAAGCAGCTTCGGTGTCAACCTGTCTCCTGCACACCGGTTTAGATGTCTTCCCCGTGAGGAGATCGATGATAGAACTCCCTTTCTTGAGAGATTTCTTGATCTTTTCGATGCCACTCTTGATCTTCTTGCTGAGGGTTTCGGCATAGCCTTTGGCTATCGAATCTTTTCCAAGACTCGTTCCGTCCAAGAACTGGAGTGGCACAGGGCTGGCATCCAGTCAGCTGTCTCGTTCCTTCGCCGGTCACCAACTCGACTCACCAAGCTACTGGCAATTGAATTACTTGTGCCGCCTTGACGGTTTTCAAGATATCAACCGTTATTTGAGTGTAGACGCGGCCGATGATCATGCCAGCCTGCTCGCAAACGGCATTGAGCACATCACGGCAACAACAATGCACTGCTTTGATGGCCACGCCAAAGAAAACACAGCCGGGCCACTCGGAGTTGGTTAGAGGCTGAATCGCAATAACAACCAGCGCGGCGTGTCCTTTACGTGGCGCGACCGGTAGGGCAACATGATGTAACTGGTCATGGTGAAGGGCAGGTTTCTTTGCTGATTCCAGGGCGGACTGGGAAATCACTGAAAAGTTTGATGTGCCACGATACTGGGCAATTACCTCGTTCATCTTTCCTGCAAATTGACTGAGGGAGAAAGAGCGGACAAATTGGCGAAAGGTCTCTCTCCCACAGCCTGGCTCAGTAGGGGCGCTGACCGGGGGCGTGACGCATTTTGAAAATGCGTCACGCCCCCGGTCAGCGCCTAGCCGCAACGGACGGAACCATAGGCTCGGCTTTCAACTAGTACTCACTTTTCGGTGTACTGACGCTTGACCTTTTACGCACTCCTGTAGGACCATGAATACGCGCCGACTTGCTCCACACGTCCAGCTTCGTGTACATTTCACATCGACGGCGTAGATGGGATAGCCCGTTCTAGTGGATTATTTCGCCAGCCTGCAGCTGTTGCGATCTCGATCTCCCACATGCATATAAGCATGCAGAACCTCACCGCTGTTATCCTTGAGTTGCCCTGTTTCTATGCTGTTGACCGGTTTCGGCATTTCCCATTCCCTTGTCTGCTTTGATATCTACTGATCTAATGTATTCCTCTTCCCGGTCGCAAGACGACCTGACACCACCCGCACCCCCGCCTTCACCCTGTCATGAGAACTTTAGACGTCAACCAAGGAACGACTATTTTGCTGGCATTGCCATTCAGCTGGTTTTCAATGGGAAGAGGGCGAAAAAATTCACTGTGGACCCCCCTGAGGGTGGCCAGGAGCTGTCTGACAGCGACGGCTCGTCTATCGGAGCCTCATCTATCTTTAGCGACCACTCGTCCAATGACGACAATAGTTCTATTGGCACGGAGGCCTGTAAGGAAGATTCTGCAGATATCAAGAGGATCAATTTTCGTGGTGTGATTCCTGGCGGTGAAGTGCCCTCCGGCGATGAACACTCGTGGCAACCTCCACCCATGATTCAGTATGCCTATTCTTCCACACTTGAATACCACCTAAATGATGCAGGCGAGTGGCTGAGGAGCTTGTTGACGCTTCATACATCCTTGTACGACTCTCAATTGACCTTGATGATGCGATCTTGAGAACGATCCTTCAGGTGCCTAGTATCACCCCCCTGAACGATGGGTCACGGGAAATTCTTGTCCAGAACGCCTACCTCCCGACTCTGCAGACTAGACTGCATGAGATGCACATTCAGTTTACTTTGGACTTAGAGTATAACCCACTCACACCTCTTCAAGAGGACGTGGAGTACTGGGGGCTTGAGAACGCCCGGGAACTTTACGCGCTTTGGTTATGGAAAGGGCCATTAGGATTATCCGGGAAGCCTGGGCTATTACAGAAATGTACTACCGTCAACTCGTGAAGCATTACAATCGAGGCATCCAGACTCTTCTGAGGATGCGTGCTAGAGGCGAGGCGAGGCGAGGCGAGGATTGGTTAACCCGCCATCGCCTGTCTGATTATCAGACCGCCCAAGTTTCACGACGTTGATTCGAAGTAAGACCTCCCTACACAGATCACTATTAGCTATTCCTCTAAAGGACATTGCATACTCTACGCCAGCTGCTTCGCTTACATTAACGCCACCTGCTGGAAGTGCGTGTTTTTCCGGCCGTTGATCAATGTTCAAATTGTAGCTCTGGCTGGCTGTAGACGGCTCTGTGTCTTAAAAACTCTACGGCCCAGCCATTCGCCCACCGGTGCCACACCCGTCTCCTTGTCTATCCAGATTTCAAATCAGAACTCTCGGCCAGAAACGAGTGACGAGAGAGATGGAGCAAGCCGACATGTCTCTCTTCGCCGGTCCCACCCCCAAAGCAATCTTTCTATTGGTATTCCTCTTCCTTTGCGTGGCGTGTGTGACGGCACTGTACGTATCACCGAGCTCGGTTCGCATCCTGCTAACAAGAGATAAGCATCCTATTGTGTGTGGGAGGATTTCACTACTGGATTGCAGATCCTCGAGGAAAGGAACGGTACCGCACGGCTCTGCGGAAATTGACAAGCATGGTCGACCCTTAGCATCCACCTGTCCAGGAGTCGCCTTAGAATGTGTGGTGCATTGGTTTCGTTGTCGTCAGGTGGACATTCCGCTGGAAGGCAACACCCAGACGTTTTCTTTGAGATCCCACCCACCCCGTCTCAAAATATTTCTCATAGTCCTTCTTCCTTCAACATAATCTCGTCCTGCACTTTCGTTCGCCAAACTTTCGATTCTCGTTGCATGGCCAGTATGGTCAATATGACGAGTGAATCGCTTCTCCAGGATTCCCATTGGAAATGTCGAGCGCTCTATCATTGGTGGGCACGGCTTTGTGGCATGCGAGGCTGAGTACTATTATCCAATCTGCCAGGCTTCGGTCGGAACGAGCTCAGCTCAATGATTTCATGCCAAACAAGTCCCAGTTCTCGTCGGCAGAGACTGGAGGATGTTCTGACCCCTTGAACCGGAGACGGACACTCGTGTAATGATGCCGCCTCATTTCAGAACTTTCTTTTCTCAACACATCGCTGCAGGGAAGTGTCTGCTACCCATGCAAGTCTCTTTTGGTAGACGCATGCTTCTTCACGAGGATACTAGCTAGGCACAGGTGGGGCATCAGAATTCGTCACCTCTTCGCAGCGAGGACCTTTTCAAATTTGCTCGCAGATCATTCCCGATCATTCTAGTCCTGCACTTCGCCTGTAGCTAAGCCAAGTCAATTATGAGAACGCGGTCAAGCTGTCCCAACTCTTCGCCCGACTTCCACTATATACGTGAGAACTTCATTGATAAAGCATGAGCCGACACGAAGACACGTCCGACAGCGATACGTGGTTTACATCAGTTGAGACTACATTATTCATACTGCGTTAATATCTCTCCCCCAATCTTCCTCCTCTGACATCATGGAGAACATTCTGAGCATCAGCTCCAAAGGCTCAGAAATCCCAATTGCAGCAATACTCAGCCCAAAAGTGAAACAAAGGCTCGAAAGTCTGCCACTCGTCCCAGAACAACAGACCATTATTCGCTCAGGGGGAAGGGCGGATAGGCTATTGGGTATACTAAGACTACTCCCATCATTGCAAGAGGATGGAGAAGGATCCCATGTCATATCAGAGCTATCATGTGCTTTACGTGACTGGGTTGATCAGATCAAAGGTCTACCAGGAGCTTGTGAGAAAACCGTAAAGTGGGAAGTTCGTCCTGTCCTCTACGATGGAATGGTCACGATCAAGGTCAAGAATTGGATGATTGCTGAAGGACTTGAGGATTGGTACACGGAAGATGAGGATGCGAGGGTTGATAAAACCGGGGAGGATATGAAAGGCCGTCTAGCGGCTTGGGTAGTATTTGGAGACGGGAGTGGATATTGTATTCTGGAGCAGTGGCGAGGAAAAGCAATCTATTTCAACTTGAAGGACTTGGAGTTCGACACCAACTTATTGAAATGGAATGATTACGAGTGAAGAGCACGTAGTGCATTGCACATGTTCGTCTGCACATGCAAAGACGCCTAATTTGAGGTAATCCGTCTCCAGGTGCTGAACTGCAAAGGTGACGTTCACCGTAATAGGGATTGGAGCACCAGACGGCAGGTTTTAAAACAGCCCCAAGCCCACACTTTCTCCCTCCAACTCTCCTGACTTTCCTCACTTCCATCGAGCTCTCTCATAGTTGCCACCCTGGATTCCAGTGATGACGACAACACCGCCACAGCGAGAGGTTATCTCCCCAGTCCTGGTTAGTATCAATCATGCCGGTGTATCAGAGGAAGTTGGCTCAAACTCGTAGTCACCCTGGCAGGATTCGTCATATGGGAGTCCAAAGTATGTTTGAAGTGTGTCTGAGAAGTTTTCTAACAACATATCAGTCGCCCAGAAAGTACGGAACCGGTGGAAGACATCTCTGATTATGAGTTGCATGGACGCAAGTATTCAGTCTTGTCGTGTAAGTGAGCTTATCTTTTTGGGCAACACTATGCTGATTAAGTCAGCCCGCCCGCTGCCCGTGGACGAAAACGAACTGATTCATCAAAAATTGCTGGACGCACTATTTAAGCTGGCTCTGGACAGGAAAAACTATCTATGCCCTCAGGACATCCACAAGGCCAGAGTTCTAGATCTAAATTCACGACTCGGCGACTGGTGTCTTGCTGTTGGGGACCTCGATGATACCTGCGAGATCATCGGCGTCGACATCGCCCCGATTCAACCTATGTGGGTTGCTCCTACGGTGCGCTTCGAGATCGATGATATTGATGACAACTGGACTTGGGGAAATCGATTCCATCTCATTTTTGCGCGTCAATTGACTTACACTCGAAACCTGCTAAAGCTAGTAAGCCAGTGTTATAAGTATGTCACTGTCACCACATGGACGTCATTAACTCACTTGCGCTTATAGCCAACTGGAACCTGGAGGCTGGTTGGAATTTCAGCAGCTGAGCGTTGAACCCCATGTCGGGAGTCCCTCCAGGGATCGTGACGACGAGCGTCTAAGGGATCCTAAGGATGAGCATCTGGGCAATCCTGAGGATATGCTTCCAACTCTGAAAATGGCAATATCTGAGCTCAACCACCAACTTGTGAAAGCAGAAGACATAGAATGTGTCCTTCAAGCCCAGGGATTTCAGAATGTGAAGCATACAACCATTGAGATTCCATTCGGGTCTTGGCCCGAAGACGAAAGAAAGGTCAGACACCTCTCCAGGGCATACCTTTAGGCTAACACCTCACAGAAACATTTGGGAATCATTCGACAAGCAGAATTCAAGGCGGGTTTGGAAGGGTTGATTCTGAAGCCATTTATAGAAGGACTGAAGTGGTCGACGACAAGGGTCGAGCAATATCAGGAACGGCTTCTCGCAAAGCTCAAGAGCCAAAGAGCTGTGTCGCATTTGTGAGTCATGGGTAAACATCTTTCAATCATCTTTTCTCATCGTTCCATCTAGGTCCATCGTATATGCTCAGAAATGATCCTTGGCAAGAAAGATACCTATGATCTGTTTCAACACGCACCCATTGGTGAAGACGTGGGAGCAGACCAGACCACCATTGTTCGGAGAACTCGGAGCGGTGCAAACTGGTTTCTGAAAGGATTCAACCTGGTCATTCTGGTCGTTGAACAGCAGGCGCCGAGAAGAGAGTCAAATCGCTCAACAAAGGACGGATGATAGGTGTGGATCGTTTCGCATCGTTCCGCCCCGGATTTTGGCCGGTACTTCCTGAGAACATGAAAAAGTGGGACGAGGAGTAAAATGGTTATGTGGCGCTCCATCTCGCCCACGTGCTGGCCTCTTCTTGGGCTATCTCCCCTGGGAGGGGTCGGGACACTGGACGGGTCAAGTTCGATCACATGCCTAAAGACACGGCCATGATAAGAACGATTGTAAGGGAACCAGCGTCGTGGGAAGAACCACCACACATTCTAAGATGGTGTAGATATTACGAAGATCAGAGATCTGTGCTCATGATACACACAAATCCTCCATCGCGAAAGGGCTGCCCAAAAAACAGAACGAAAGGAGAGGAACATTTGTTTCAATTACGATTTGGAGATTATGAGTTCACTGCGTACAGCTTTCCTCTGTCTTGGACTCTAGTAGGCTTACGTCGCACCGCGACAAGCCTTAACTCAGGATCCCAAAGAGATTGGCCCAGATCATCCTGATCATTCGTGACACTCGGTTTTCGTGCCGAGGAAACTTGCTGCTGTTTCTCTCCTCGCGGCACTGCCTGATAAGGTCGAGAAAGGCCTCTATGGATTTGTGTTCTGCTTGGGGCTGAATCGAGAATATCGATACTGCTAGCTTATTTGCTAGAATGGTCGTATCATCGAGGCTCACCTGGAGCCGGCAATGGCGGCGCTGGAGCCCAATCAGGTTCATTGCACAATTCTTCGACTTGACCTTCTTCACCGCAATTGCGATGGACCTGGCGGCTTTGAATGTTTGTTCGTCCGAAAAATCGAAGGCGACGATGAATGCTTGGTTCTCCAGGATGATCTGTCGTGGCGGTGCCTTTTCTCCACCCCACCAACTAACTTGGATCGGGGTGAGGTCCCCAGTGGGCTCCTCAATGAAGCGATGAGCCAATTCATACAGAGTGAATCTGCCCGGGAGCTCCAAACTTGTGAACTGCGGCATGGGTTAGTTCCCAGCTCTGCATCGATGAGGAATTCTTACCCAAAGGTATAAGTCCCAGCTCACACGATTACTTCCGAGGATGATTAATTCGAGTGGACTTGGTTCGGTCATGCTTGCAATGGATGGAGGTGACAGAGATAAACGAGCAGAAACCCCGGCTTCTAGGTGCAGAGACTTCGCATGAGAATTGCCTGCGCATATATTGAAGGCCAAATGTCAGCCTATTAAATAGTGATCAGGATGCACCCGTGTTGCATGATGTACTCATGATTCCGAAAGAATAACCCCATGCCTCAAGTATTTCGTCGCTAGCTAGCTGTAAGATACTAAGCGATACACTACAGGGTGCCATCCTCTCGTGACTCGTAACCTTTGGATGTCAACCCCAATCATCAGGTCGTAGATCCAGGCAGGATTACGCTTGGCAATGATTGAGAAGCACCCCGTTCCCTTGAGAACCCAGGAACGGGCAAGCTTCTCGACATGGACAGTCAATGCAATGAAACTCAAAGGTGAACCTGGTGGCGATTCTCGTGGGGTGGACGCCCGGGGCCTGCGGTTCTCCTGTAGAAATCAATAAGTAAGGAGGGATACGAGCGCCAGGTGGATTCATGGACATTTACCTCAATTTGTCGATCGCTTCAAAGGAATGCCCTCGAGACTCATCGCAGTTGATAGTACGCTTAGGATGAGTTTATTGGGCTCAGTGATTTCTGAAGAGCTTTCAAAGAACACTGACTGACTCCATTTCTCCACAATACAGCCCGAAGCAGGTATTGATCCATGCCCCAAAGGCGTATATCTGCAGTCTCGAAAGGGAAGCTGAAAGCGGAGACAACATCCCCGAGAAGCATGTGCAGAGTACTTTGGCTGTATTTCATAGTAAAGTGCCTCAGTGACCAATCGAGCCCTCCATTTTAGGCCAGCTTTTTTCGTGCCAATAGAGGCGCAATCTCCTGGGCTTGAGAATGCCATCGCCTGATTGCCAGCGCCACATAGAACGCGTTCCGCCCTAACCTCTTGCTTGGTAGCTAGGACCCCGCAACAGGCGCTACCTACCTGGCGGTCGTTTGCCAGGAGAGGTTCATTTCTTTTTGACTGTCCACCTGTGTGTAGAGATGATCTTGAACACCAGCAGTAAGAGAGCTTGCTCTTATATCTGGCTCTTTGTGTCTACGATCGCTGCGGTAATCATTCATGCTGGTGTTGTTGCTGCTGTTATTCGCCTATTCTGTCAGTTCCCGTTGTTATTGCACTTAGTACTCTTCATTGCTTCAGCGGTTATTATGCTAAGTTATTATGTCGACTCGCAAGAGTATTGTCGATATCAAGGAAGGTACTCCTCCGACTCCAGCTCCGATGCCGCTACCTTCACCTTCGCGGGCCAATGGGTTTGAGTGTGTTGGACTGGTGAAAAGAACCTTAGACATGGATCCTGGATATGAGGATCCTCGGTAAGTCCCTTTATCACATTTGCGTGAGAAAAATAGTCTGATAAGGTACAAGTGAGCACGATGACAGTGAGAGCACGATCTCATCGACACCTTCCCGTTGTCGACTCTCATGGCTCGGCGATCGCTCTTATGTCATATTTGGTAGCTTTGGTAAACACACAAGCTCGTACACCGTTTACGCAATCGCTTAAACATTTTAGAGTCGCTATTTCCGGCAGACGTGAAAGAGGTGGAAAATTCCCGTTTGTACCATAAATTGGTACGTTTCATTCTAGGAGGTAGACTGTATCTTGCACCCGCGATGTTGGCGGACGGGGCCGGCAGAGTACTCGACGTGGACATGGGAACCAGGGAATGGGCTTTGGCTATGGGGAATACATTCCCCAATGTCCTGGTAGAAGGAATAGATCTCAGCGACCAGATGCCAATCTGGACGAGCCCGCTGTTTCCTTCGCAGTCGCAGATGCCGAAGCGAACTGGTCGTGGCATGAAGACCACGAATTCAATCTCATGCGCCAACTATCCGGTTGCATCTAGGACTGGGACCGACTCATTGCACAATGCTCACAAGATATGCATTGAAGACAACGAGAAGTTGTTGCAGTACACATAGGAATTTATCTGGCAATGGCTGGGTAGAGTTTCAGCAGCTAGATATCAAAGTCTCTGCTCTAGGCAAGTGCAGTGACAAAAACGACAGACTGCTGAAGGAAATGGACACGATTCTGCAGGCACTGACAACCCATCGGCGACCTCTTGATGTGTCAGCCGATGTTGAAGCCTTGCTGAGTCTATACGACTTTCAGAACATCGCCATGACAAGATCAGAGTGCCCATAGGACTATGGGCGGAGGAAGCAGGCGAGGTATGGTGAATTGAGCATGTCAAATGGTGACAAAATTGTGACATTGATTGTAAATTGAGAAACACTTAACCATCACTGCCTCCAGAAGTTTCAGAATTCTTTTTCGGGACTTTCGCCAGGGATCGCTCTCAAGGGTCTTTTCAAGCTTTGTCGTTTTTTCCAATTGTGTTTCGCAATCTGGCTGACCTTCCTCTTCGTGAAGCTTGTCTTATAGAATTGTGGAATTGCCGGCCGTCTGGTACGCAGTCCTTGATGGTATCGACCAGGACAGGCCTTGTTGTGAACTGGAATACGTGCAAGATCATTCCAAGAGAGTTGACTTCGCTTCTGATCACCGTAGTTGCCCCCAAATCCAAGTGAGAAGTTAAAGCAGGGTGCGCACAACCCTGCTCTTCTCCAGTGAACAAAGTTGTCCTTATACCGGAGTCCAACTTTCCTGTCAGTGATCCTGCCTCCAACCCCGAAGTGATTCTGCAGTTTTGGAAAGGTTTGGGTCGTGCAGCTCTGGCCAACCGAAGACAAAGCTGATTCGGACTCCAGTCTACGCCGCACAAAGCAAGTCAATTTCGGACCCTGCTAGTATAAGAACTTGTAACCTGTTTTGGAGGCTCTGCAGCAGTCACACTCTCCGGCAATCCATCCCGACAGGACGTTTGATAGAATTATGGAGACGGTGTCAACAGTACTCAGATATACCCCCAAACAGCGGAAGACTCCGACAGCGGGTCAGCTTTGCAGCTCACCCACATTCTCGAAGAAGGTATGTTCCAGCACAATGTGGGTGCAAGGCCAGTCACATTTCTCAGCTGACGGTTTCACAGGGGACGCGCTCATCGCCATTAAATCCGCCATTGTTATCATGTGCTGATGCAAATCAAAGACAAAAAAGATGCAGTGATCACCTTGGCTGCTGCACTCCTCGTTCTTCTCCTCTCAACTTGTCCTACAGACTGATCGCGCTCCCCGACCACATCCTAATGCAATATCGTTGGCAACTGTCGCACAAGGGAACGACGTCAGAGATCTATTCACTATGACTGCACCATGGGTTTTGCAAATGTTGATCGTGGCTCTCGTGGGCAGTGTCGTACTCTCTCGACTCTTTAGAGGCTTCCGTCTGCAATGTGTCTCTCAAAATTGGGAAAGATGGCTCTACTTCAAACGCCTCTACGTTTTAAAACCTTACATGTGGCCCTCGAAAGACCGGAAAACCCAGCTGTGGATTGTTGTTTTGGCGCTCCATTTCTTCAAAGACCGCACATTACAAGTCTTGATACCTCGTCAACTGGGTATTATCTTGAATGGCTTTTCGTTGGGGTTAAACTACGGTCAGTTCACCTCGCGTTCATATTTAGCTCCTGTTTTAACCAGTACAGGCGCTATAATGAAGCAAGTTTCCATCTGGATTGTTCTCCAGCTAGCTCGAGACTTCACCTTCTTCAAGGCCACAGCTGCGACTCATGTATCCCAATTCGCCCATAGGAACATCGTGGAGGCCTTCCACGCTCATATCTTAAATCTCTCAATGGATTTCCACCGTACTGAACCGTCTAGCGAGCTTTTAGCAGCCCTCAAACCCAGTGGCGCTTTCAGCAATATTATCCAGGAGCTGGTCTCCAATCTCATTTCTCCGGTGGTCGACCTTTTCGTCGCCATGGTATACCTCTATCGGACTAACGGCGGTCATTCCGCGCTCGTGAAGCTATTTCTCACCATTTCCTATCTATCAGCGGCTCACCAAGGTTCTTCCTGGAGCTCTAAGCTATTTCAACATCATGTTACAACGGACCGGAGAATGACACATTTTCTACAGGAATCAATCCAGCACTACCGGGTTATTTCATTATTTAATCGACAAGAGTTCCAGGTCGATGCATTCTCGGGTGTGTTGCAGGAGTTTCTTAGTGCACAATTCCAGCACCACAAAGGTTACTATTTAATTGCCAACATCCGGAGACTGTTGTTACGGCTCGGACTGCTAGTAGCAGTTTCTGTGTTTACAGCGGACGCCGTTAAAGGCGCATTATTACCGGGCCACTTCATTGGCCTCGTTAGCTATTGGTCTTCGACATCAGATACTCTTACCGAACTGACAACGGCCTACAAGGATATCAGGGAAAGACTAGTCTCGATCGAGAAACTCGTCCATATTTTCCACAAACGGCCGACTATCGTGAACGGAAGCAAGCAGCTACAGATACGTGCTGGAGACATTTCATTTGACCGAGTCTCATTCTCATACACCAGTGAGCATGTCGCAATCCGCAATGTGACCTTTACAGTCTCAGGTGGATCGACCGTTGCCATAGTTGGGGAAAGTGGCAGCGGTAAATCCAGTCTCGTCAATCTCTTACTTCGCACCGACGATGTCAAAGAAGGTGTCATTAAGATCGATGACCAGGATATTCGAGATGTCACCCTCACCAGCTTAAGGGGGCAGATCGGCATCTGTCCTCAAAACATCGAGGTGTTCGACCGGTCGGTTATGGAAAACGTCCGATTTGGGAGACTCGACGCATTAGATGAAGAGGTCATCGAAGTATGCAAAGTAGTGGGACTACACGATGCTATTATGAAATTTCCAGAGAAATACGCGGCAAGGGTCGGTGAAGGGGGCACCATACTCAGCGGCGGGCAGCGTCAACGGATAGGCATCGCTCGAATCATGCTGAAAAAGCCAAAGCTTGTCGTCCTTGACGAACCCACATCAGCTATCGACTCTCGCACGGAGACACGCATCCTAAAGGCCCTCCGCAATTTATGTCGCGGCCACACTACGCTCATCATTACCCACCGGCTCTCAATCATCAAGGACGCTGACCTCATCCTTGTTCTACACGATGGCTCTATCATTGAGAGAGGTAGCCACGCGGAGCTATTAGAACAACGAGGGAAATATTCTGAATTCTGGTTCTTACAAACGTCTCCAGAAGCTAACCGAAGTTCCCACGTCACAGAAGGTATTCTCTAGCGACCATTGATGCTATTATAACGACGAATTCAATTCCTCTCAGCTAGCCTAGAATTTGAGATTTTGGAACTAGCATTTCCGGTTTTCACCATCACGAGGTATACCACCAAACACCCCTCCCATTCCCAGGATTCTCCTAGGTCGTTGTACATTTGAGAGGCCAGTATGTGATAATGCTAACAGTAGATAGGGAGTTCGGCGTTCATTTCGTTCTAGTGGAACGTATTTTTGGTCTTTATCTGCGCCGCTCGGGACTTGGAACACCTTGATGACACATCAAAAGGCCGCCTGGAGGACTAGAACTGCCCTCCTAGGATGGCTACACAGTGTTCTAAAAGAAACATGATGAACGCATAGAGTGGTTCTCCTATAGATATGACTGTTGAGTTTGTTTATCTTCAATTTGAAAAGAGCAGCACTTGATTATTTAATATCTTCTCTCGTAGGGCGCGTTTGTCGCTAGCTTCCTGCTGTAACCGAACGCGACAGCGCTCTCTGCTTGGGCATACCCTCTCAGGGATGTTCCGGTCCACAGAGAGCCAGGGGTTCTGTCCATTCACAACACCGATCGTCTGGCCATACATGTCTCATCGACGAAAGAAGAGCTGAAGAAAGGATGCTCCCACTCCGACATTGTTGCACATCTCCCAGTGGAAGTTGGTCGATTGCTGGTGGAAAGCCTTTAAAGGCAGCACACAGAGATAAGTGGCAATGAACAACTCTGAGAAATTCGGGACTCTACCACGTCGATACAGGATTAAGGAGGGCCATGCTTGCATTCTCCTGGACAAGAGAGGGGCCTTTTGAAGTCCCTTTCGCGTCCCAGGGGAGATTTGAGGAGCCCAAAAGGGAGCTCACATTCGTTGGCATGGAGTTCCTTGAATCGATGTTTTGGACGTATCATTGGGTCTGTCAAATCCCCTCCTAATCCCATGTTAGTCTCTTTGGTGGTGATGCGATAGGGAATATACTTGTTCCCTATGCAGTTCCCTTTTGTCGTTCCGTGGCGAATTTTTTACCTTGAACCTCACTCCCAGGAGTCAGGATTCGCAGTTGATTACTTACTATTCTGATCAAGATGTCCGTCCTAAATTGCCTCAGGTATCTCATGGGCTTCCTACTCATCGTACTGCGTCATCAAACCAGCTCTCTGGCCTCGTCGACAAATCTCAATTTTCAAAAGGATACATGCGTGTCAGTTTCTCAAGGAGCTGAAAACCCTTCAAGGAGCTCTGATGCAATACCCACACAAGAAAAAAAAGGAGGTCTAACAGGGGGGAAAAGAGGTCTGGCCTATAACGAGGCATCCCTCACGTACCTCTTCGCGAACCAGTCCACCGTCAGCTGGGGTTATAACTGGGCTCAATTCGCCAACGGCTCCCTTCCATCTAACCTTGAATTTATCCCGACGCTCTGGGGTCTCGGTGAAGACGCGACGTCTTCGTGGTTTACACAGGCCTCCTCCGCCATCAGCTACGGATCAAAACACCTCTTCTCCTTCAATGAGCCCGATATCGCGACACAAGCAAATCTCGCCGCATCCGAAGCGGCCGATGGGTTCATACAGTACATGAATCCTTTCCATGACCAAGCCGAGCTGGCGGCTCCGTCAGTGACGAATGGACTTGGCGACTCGCTCGGTCTTGAGTGGTTATCCTCATTCTTCGATGCCTGTGCAGGGAGGTGCTTGGTCGACACTATCAACATCCATTGGTATGGTTCGGCAGTCGACACGTCGGGTTTCCAGGCATTCGTATCTAATGCCTCGGCACTGGCAACAGAAAACGGCGTAGGAACTCTCTGGATTACAGAGTTACGCGGGTTCGGAGGTATTGACCTGCAATTGCAGTTTTTAGAAACGGTCTTGCCGTGGCTCGACAGCAACGACGACGTGTCCGGCTATGCCTGGTTCATGTGTGCCGCGGGAGACGGTAACTTAGTGAGCAGTAGCGGCGTTGTCTCTGCTTTGGGCCAACTATACGGTGATGGCTGAACTCTCGGGCACGAGAAGCCCCGAATTACGACCGCAGCTGTCGTTGTCTCACTCGGGCTGAAATGGCAGGTCGGGAAGGGCCAATGAAACTCATACCTCGAGTCCAGTTGCCCCGAAGCGAGCTCTAGAACTATTCAAGGACGGTTTCATTCCTATGCGGCGGAAGAAGAGAACAAGGATCGCTGTCGAATCAACATCACTCAGAAAATTGTCGAGGAGCGTCGGGCTCCATGTGGATCAAGTGTCACTGTACGAGCAGTGGTTCATCTGGAAGGTAGCTCTAGCTGATATAGATAAGTAGACAGTGATAGATCCCGGATGAGAAGATTTGATTGAACAGTACCAAAATGCATCTCCATGCGAAGGGAAACGGATGGCTGGACCGAGTGGACCTCGGCTGACATGCCGCCGGAATGTTGTTTTTGCCGGCGGTCTAGCGTAAAGCTTGAAGTGACTTCATCCCTCAACGGCCTCAACTTCGTCGTCCCTTTATCATCCTCCTTGTGACCTTCTAGAATAGCCCCGAAATCCACTACTCCCTTCCAGCCGCGTCTCACGCAAACCAGAGACTGTCTTTATCTCTGTTGGTGAAGATGCCGTACCGGGCTCCTGTGAAGACTGCACCGGTTCACAACCTTCTCCGATCCGTCCCTCCTCGAGCGCGACACCGCCACGAGCAACGATGACGTTCTACCGAGCCCGACGACGCTTTTTGGCCGGCTCCTCTACCCTCGTTTCTCCCTCATCCTGCTTCTCCTCGCGCTCTTTTCGCTTTCTATGATCCGGAGTACCAAAATCATTGTTGAGGCCTTGCATATCCATTAGATCGTGGACTGCCCATGGAGATCCACTGATATGCTGCGGATCCGCTAGCCCTTCTTGAAGAAGAACAGACAAGGTGTCCTTGGTTTCAAATTCGACCCTTTTACGAAAGGTACCTTGGCGGTCGGTGAACGACCGATCGCTGACCGACCCGGGAAGCCCGTGGCCGTTCACGATAAACCTCGCCGCCCGTTTAGACAACTGTTCCAGCAGCACCTCGAGCTCGGGACTATTTCGAGGCAAACGACAGAAGATATGGCCGGATCCAGAATACTTCCCCTTAATCTTCTTCGGCTTTGACTCGAGTTCAAAGTAGAAACGCGTCGCAACGAGGCAACGCGCGACGACATCGACATCCTCCGACCGACAGAACTGCTCCCGAGCTTTTGTTGTCAGCCCGCGCATCCCGCCCGTATCGTCCAAGTCGACCTCTCTGTCCAGCTCAACGTCAAACCGGAAATACCGCCCGTCCAACTCTACCCGTCTTCCATTCTTGAACGCCTGGGCGATTTTTTGACCGTTGATCAATTCCATGAAGGCTCTGTATGATCGTGGCAGGAATCCCTCTCTCCAGATCGCACGCAGTCTGCTGGAGTGTGATGTGGGTACGCGTGGTCCTGAGGACCCAGTACCGAGGGAGACGACCACATTGGGCCTTCGGATCAGGGGCCACACCACCGGGATTTCCCACAGGGCAAGGTCGACGGGATTGTTCCTCCACAGGGCCCCGTCTTGAAAGGTCCCTACCCCAGGAATGCGCTTTGCTGGAAAGTACCTTGTGGCCTGTGAGCTGATCAAAACTTCGAAAGAGGCGGAAGGGAACATACCACGGTGCTGCAGCTCCGCTCATTGCTCTTGTTTGCACTATCAGCCATCTTCTCATGCTCCAACAAACCGTGACGGAAAGAAATGAACACTCACATCTCCCACAGCCGGACCCTTTTTCGGCCATCTTGTGACCGGACAATGCGGTATCCTGTTCATCCATTAGAGGTCGCTCTCACATTGTCAATACAAATCTCAGCCTACCGCAGTCCTGCGGTCTCGGTCCCGCCCCGTTATAGTTGGTGAAGAGGCACGGGTCCGTTTCCAGGACCGTGGTCACCGGGATTCCCACTTTCGCGCCGATCGCAGTTGCATGGGAGTTGTCCAGGATGCCCATGTCGCCGCCGAAAACTTCTTTCAGCGCCGCTTCCAAATTATCTGCTGGATACAGACCGTCTGCCAAATACGAGACGAGAAACCCAAGAATGTGCGACAGGACCGGAATGCGGGACACGACGGGTACGTGGGAGACCCAGCGCGGCCTGAATGCCCTTTTCGCAAAAGATTCGAAAATGTTCGCGCAGTCCTCCACCGGCCACCCCATGATGAATAATGCGAGGACGATCAGTCCGCCTGGTCCGCGTCAGCGAGGCCCGTTCAGCGGATCGTGTTCACCTACCGGAACTGGTGCCGAACGAAATCTCGAAATTATCCTGCACTGGGATCGGTAGGCCTACCCTGTCCTGCAAGATTTGTAAAAACAGCAGCGGCACGATTCCCTTGACACCACCCCCATCGATGGTCAATACGTTGACACCCGCTGTGTCAGGCTTTACTTTTACCGTCACATCTCGAAGCTCCATGTTGCAGAGGAAACAGCGCCGAATGTCGAACGCCCACCGATCATTCTGATCCGGGTGTCCGAAGACTCGAGGGCAGTTCTCGCAGACCGCGTGGCCGCAGGGCAAGTTGTTGTTCTCTGGCGTGCGACGCAAGCATACGAGACAGGTGTCGTCGCTTCGCACCTGCTTCCAGCGAAGCTTAAACTTCTTCAGATTGTTGTGATGGACCGTCAAGGACGGTGTGCCGGCGGCAAAGTCCTCGAAACATTTTCGCAACTGCTCTGAGACAGCTTGGACGAAGCCAGACGGAAGAAGCAATTTTGTCGAGCTGTCGTACACAAGCACACCGCTCCTGGCCACTTGATAGCAGGCGTCTTTATACAGGGTCTGAAATACATCTTCGGGGTTGAACGCCACGGGGCCGTCAGATTGGTTCCGCCACTCGTGAAAGGAGCTTCGACTTACCGTGCATACCGGGAGGATAATGATCCAACAGAAGGCTCGATGCAATCATCGGCACCGCGAAATTCGTTAGCTCTTCAGGCGATTTGATCTGCCTCAGGAAGTTGCACAGATGCGTGCCTAAGTCCGACGCGACAGGATTTCGCAAACGCGACGCTTTCACGAAATCGAACGGCTCCCTCGCGGTTCTGCCAAAGTAGTCGGTCGCATATTTAAAGAATGCGGTCAAGTGTCTCCCAGAGAACAGTGTCCTTGCCTCAATCTTCTGCCTCCGGCCTCGATTCAGCACCCGGATCAAGTATTCCTCCAGTCGCCGGTAGTCCTGTCCTCCGAGGGGAACGGTCACCACCTCGAGAGCCGACACCATCTCCAGAGGATTTTTCGTTGTCTCTTCTCTCAGCTCGCCCAGGAGGGCCTCCTCGGCCTCCTCGTCGCTTTCAGCCCCAGGGTCTGTGACTTCCATTATCACGACCACCCGTGGATATGTTGCCTTCGGCAGTGTCGTCGGCTTGCCATTCTCGAGCCAGGATGCGAGTCGACGTACCACGGGACCAAACCCGCCAACGTCGGTGGAAAAGAAGCAAAAGACATCTGCAAAAGCACCCAAGAGACGGGAGTAGAGGTGATCGGCTGCATCTTCGATAGCTAGATCTTGGACGCCTCCCCGGATGCGAGGAAGCATCAACTGTCTCGTCTCGTGACATTCGGCCGAGGACGTCTTTTTCCAGTCCCGGTATGGAAGGTCACCATCTGCTAGAAGCACGGGGACGTCCCAGAAGACACCGCGATTTCCGGGTTGGAGATGCACTCCGCCACCACGTTTCCGTCTGCCTGCCGACTTCTGCCTGTTCTCGTCCGCACCGAGCGATCGGAGGGCTGACAGTTTGGCGGCATGGCCGATGAAAACCAACAGGCTAGGCTGCTGGCGCTCGGGGCTGGGAAATTCGTCGATAAGCGTTTGAAGCCGATTCGAGATGAACAAGATGACTTCGTTTCGTTCAATGCGGAGGTTAAGCCATTCGCTGTGATGACAGCGTGCCATCATGAAAGCCGAAATGCTACTGCGAGTCCCAGTCTTGAGATTGTGAGGTGCACAAAAGAGAAGCTTTTAATACATCACGGGTACCCGTTGTCCTGTGAGGGGAGCTCAATCCAGACCCTGGAATAGTGGACGAGGAAAGGGAAACAGACTGAAGGAAGAGACTGAAACGGGCTCCAAGCGCCGCCCTTCGAGATCCAATTTTGAACCATCATGAACGCGTTTTGGGCTCCTCACGATACCACTAGGCTGACTGGTGTTCCCCATCTATTTCTTCTTGATATGTAAGCTGAATCGACGCTCTTTTAACGACTGCGCAGGTGAACACAGTGCAAAACGATGCTTATGGTCACTACAGTATTGGAACCTCGAAGTCGCAGGACAGACAAAATACTCAGCAGAATGCTTTCCAGTAACCAACCTCGCCATATGAATCGACAACCTGTCGAGCTTGAAGATCCCAGATCTACCCCTGACCTGAAGAGAAACTCCAAGCTACCCTTGTTCAGGCACAGATGTGCCCTTTGCGGCAAGCTTCGGTCTTCGGCTTACCAGAGAGATCATCCCATCGCCCCGGGAGCAGCACCGATCTTAGGGGTCTGTTCACGGCCAGGATGCAGCACTCAGAAACGAGCTTGGTCTCTATCGAAGAAGCCTCCACCGGTGGTGGTCCTGGAATTGCATTGTTACGTCTACGTGAACCATCTCCCAGGTCACTCCACTGAACCGCCTCCCACGGTCGAGCTTCCTGGGGCAGAGCAGGACCGGCGAAAGGAGCTACTTCGTGGTGATTACGGAGTGCCGACCTGGACGCCAACGAACCCCAACGCATTTGATGATGACCAGCAGGCGCCATGGGTCAATCGCATAGCCAAACCAACTTTTGTACCTTGCTAAGCTAGGAGGTTTGTAATGGGCCAACGTCGAGTCCGTATCCATGTCATCACGATTCCCAGGCATCAATGAATGCTTCCCTCTGCGATGTTCTATCTTGGAGGATGACTCGACTTGAACATGATGGTCACCTATGGAATTGGCAATGTAACCGCTGGCCGGTTATATGGGTGGAACGTATTGCAGGTTTGGCAACGGATCATGTTTGATGAGAGTTAGATGTTGTTCACCTGTATACCGTACAATTCTAGACACACCATCTCCATAAGAATTCATGATACGGCTAAGCCCTTGCGTGACTTCATCCCCGTGGGTAAGGTCATGCTGCCTGGATCCCGCAGGTCAATTAACCACTACCAAGCATGAAGAGCTGGGCACCTTCTAGCTCCTTAGATTCAGCCGGCGACAACCATGACAAGTATGCTCGCTAGGTGTCTTGGACCGTGAGCACTTTCACAAAGTGCGGTACGGCACTGTTCGCGGTTGACCGAGGTTGGCCGAGTTTACCACGCGCCGATTGACCATTGTCCGATGCAAGTCCAGAGCCACAGCTCACATAGACTTCCGTAGAAACCAAGATCGAATGGCAGCAACGAGCAGAGTTCCGTGGCAGTGCAGCAAGCCAGCATGAGCTCAGCCCTCAAACATTGAGCATGCATTAGGGTCTTCGTGCGCACAACTGCTCCCTGGTCATTTTGAAGCCGACTAGGTAGCTGGGGCCAGAAGTCGAGGCGTTGACCTCAAGGCTTAATTTATGCACCAGGTCCCTTTTGACGTGAACCCCTGGTTGAATTTTCACACGAAAGTCGCAATCAGCAGCACAACTAACCGGACCTGGTCACCCAGAGCGAACAGAATGGGGACCCTTCGCGGCGTTTTTACCATTTCTTGCAAATCGGGTCGACCGGGTCATGTCGATCAATCATCCCCTAACATCATTAGCCGCCATCCGTAGCCAGCCCCCCCAACGTTCCACGACTTGGCCCTCACAAACACGTCGCGAGACAGCCCATTTCGACTCCGGTCGATTGCTGGACGACGGCTCTGTATTCAAAGTGCAGGTAGTGCTTGAGGCTGGCTCTTAGTATAGTATCAGGATAACCAAATATAGATTCCAGGTCCATGTGCCGGGCGACAAATCGCCGATGGCTCAGAACAGGGACGGGGCAGGACAATGACAAGATTGTAGAGATTGCCAGGAATAACGCCAGTAACCTTGATAACTATGGGACTATGTTTACATTCAGCTCCTCCAGGAGCCCGGATTCCACGAGATTCAACTTGTTCTGCTCAGTGTTGAACGGGAATCTTTTGTCCCTCGGACTGGGAGTTCCAAAGGATGGTGGATCCGGCAACGGAGTGTTGTGGAAGAAAACTTTCTTCCCTCTTCCTTTTGCCGAGGCTCTGTTCTGTTTATTGGCCTGAGCGTGCTGGCTACGCCTCGATCTCGCTCCTGGCCTCGGTTTTGCTCGAGTATTTCCCTTCCCCCCAACATGCTCAAAATCCTTCGCCAACAGTATTTCTGCCTGCGGGTCGGTTGACTTCTGGACCAGACTTAGTGCCTAGAATCAATGGGAGATCAGGTCAACCGGCTCCTCACCAGATCTTCAATTTTACGTGGCAGCGATCCTCCATCGGGCGTCTGAAGAAATGTGACCTGCCCGCTCTCAGGGTTCTGGAGACAGGCCGTAATTTCAAACCCGCATAGCTCCCAGAGTTGAAATGTTTTGTTAACCCAGCCTCTCTTCCTCTTTCGTCGCTGTGTGATTCTCTCTTTTCTGGTTTGCTCTTGTTTTTGCTTTGCCATCTTGTTGGGCAGTTGAACTTGACTGGCTGCGAAGCCTCCATCACGGCGGCTGTTTTATATTTCATCGTACAGCAGCAGATGAGGAGCCCGTTATGGCACCTCGAAGTCAACATATTCATAGACGCAGCCATTTGAGGGTCCAATTCTGGGCTCTTCCTATAAAGGACGTGGGTAGGTAATGTCTGATCCCGTGGCTCATTCTTCCCATAACCCTCCCAACGATGCTGCTGCGCACTGCCACCCAAGTTTCTATCTTCGTTGCTCTTGCCTTCCCCCTAAGAGGGGTCTCTGCCGATGACTTTCACACTGATATCGGGACAATCAACCCAACGGCAAGTATGTCAAGGGAATTTGTCTGGACGAACACGTCTAGCGCACCACCGCAGGCGACCGTTGAGATTCAGTTTGACGGCCTGGTCGGCTCCGGTGTTATAAACTTAACCAGCAATTACGGCTTTACAGCTGTCAATCTGACCGCCGCCAGCACCTCCATCACCTCCTGCGGCCCTCCAAATCCATTCGCAGCCAATGCCACTTCTGGGGCGATTATTCCTTCCCTTCCCACCCACAGCGTCTCTGTCACGAACCAGCCTTCGACGAACGCGACTGTGGTTCCCTCTAGCAACCCTTTTACGTCGCCGTCGCCACGGTCCACCACGGACGACAGGTCCCTTGGCTCAACCCAGAGCACAAGCCTTGGTCTTCCCTCTGCCACTGTCTCGTCCGCCGAGATCAGCCTCTTCACCGGTGCTGGAGGGCGATTGAGAGTATCTCCAGCGACTTTGCTGATGTTGTTGCTCATGGGCTTGATGCCATGGGCCTCATGCTAACTCTTTCTGTCTGGGGTGGCGATTTCTAACGGCAGATGTATCGATGGATCTGTCTCCTTTCTGCACTCCTTCTGTTGTGAGCAAATTCATGGGGACTTAGATAGCTTAGGTAGTGCATCCTAGAATATGATGAATATATACCTTTCAATACGCAAATCAGTGTGGCACCTCGTAAAGCACCAGAGGAACGTTTGGTATCCACTGAACTCGATGTTAATCCTCATTGATGAGATGCATATCTGAATACGGTCCGTTTCTATCTAATCACCTCGGCGAGGCATCAAACTTGAACGCTCTTGAAAAAGTCCTTCGTCGGCTCGCTGCGTTGACCCAGAGATTCGGGTGATGGAGTTTGGGATCTCAAAAAATTGCGGCTGTCGGCGATCAATTCTTGCGGACCAGCCTCGTCGATGTGAGAGGCAACCCCTTCAATCGCACTGATGTATGTTGGAAGGCCAGCTGTCCCTTTTTGGGCGTCGTCTTTTTCCTTCTGGCCTTCCTTTCGACGGAACCATTGAGGTAGCTTGATAACGATACCACACCTGCACAACATCGTGTTGCTTTTAAGTACCAAAAAATGAGGGGTTGGCAAAATGTGATGCTGTGTTCGTGAGACAACACAAAGGTAGAGGAGAATGCAGATGGAAAGCTTGAGTGCTGTAGTCCTGCCACGAGGATGGATGTACGTGGTACTGTAGATGCGCTTGATCAAGTCGGCCTCCGGTATATATAGATTGGAAAGGGAGCCGAATCGAGCTCCTGGATCCTCTTCAGGTCTCTCCTTCCGGCCGAATTAAGCGGTTGAATATAAAAACGGCAGCTTATCTGGCTGGGTTTGGCCGATCGATCATAGGGCATTCACTACCAAGAGTACTCTACCGCATCTTCCTGAAACCATCTGCTTCTGGCCCCAACAAATAAACATGAACAACGAACAGCCGGACTTCCCCAGCATTTCCAATTATGACGACGACGACCTGTCCATGGAAGCGTTGTTAAAAAGAATAGACGACTTCCAGAGGAGGGAGGAAATGATTACAATCGAGAGACTGGAGAAAGAGATTTTGTCATTACGATATCAGATTTCATGCCACCAGAGAAGTCTGCACGTCACCTTTAATTTGCTGCAAGAAGCCTTTGATGCAGCCATCCTTATCAAGACAGCCCTCCAGAAATGCGATGAAGAGGAAGAAATGGCCAATGCAGATTGGCTGGCATTTTGGGGAATCCATATCGAGACTCGGTCAGCTCTAGAGTATCGACCGATGGAGTGGCCTCAGGAATGGATCTAGCGACGACAGAGGGTCAGAATCAAGCGTCGGCTTCATATACACACCCAGACGACCAGACCTCAGTTCAATGAAGATATTATTTCCATGTCCTAAGCGTAGATAATTCGTTTTTACTTGAATATTCTATAAGTAAATACAGAAATTGAAATACAAAAGATGATATTGTACAATTTAAAAATGAAATAAAAATTGATAAAACTAAATTACTAATAAAAAAAATAAATAATATAAAATATAAATCTTTATTAGCTAGAACACCTCCGGCCTTCGTCACTTTCTAGCATCAAGGCTTAAGGTACTTTTTCAAACGATATTCTCAAAGTGCTTTGAAGTTGGAAAATTTACTGGCCTGCCAATTGTGCAAAACGTCCGGAGACGGTAACTCCATGATTGTACCCGATTGCCTAACTACCATGAAAATTTAGACACACGCCTGCGCCATTCTCAAGTATCCTGCGACTCGAATACGGAGCCCTCAGATCTGGCCTGTCCCTCGTGATTAGAATGTCGATCCCTGATCTGGCTTTCCACCGTTCTCTTGAAGATCAAAGACCACTGTCTATGATGCTCAATATATTTCTTCATCGTATCCATAGAAGCCTTCACCCTGTCCTCATGGTCAGTCACAAAGTATCGGGTTCATCGGAAAAATTGTACCAATCTTGAAACTCCGAGAAATGAATTTCCAGTTGATTGCATTGCGTCTGCAGAGATTCGATCTGATCGCTCCGGGTGTGGAGGGAGGTCACTCCCTGCTTGATCTCCTCCAACGTGGCTGCAAACTCGGCAGGCATCTTTAGTGAGCTGACATCTGGTTCTGGAGCCGATTGTGTAAACGTAGTATCGGCGCACATGTGCGGACAGATGCTCGTATTGTCCTGTCGAAAAGGGAAAGCGGTGGATGATTGTTGGGGTAGGTAGTTGGTGGTGTCCTGGACATATCCGTTGGTGATAGGCTGTTTGTAGAAGAGAAGTTGAAGCGCGTCTTCGCACGACATTCCGCCGGTGGCGTTTTGGGTATTTTGCTGAAAGGCCATCGAAGTATGGTACAAAGGTGGGGTTGACTGCGTATGTCACTCCCTTGAATGTCATTTCCTCATTCAAGTTCACCCAACCAACACCCAGTGGGAAATGTACCTTTAAGGTATGCTTTACTATACCCAGCCCATCGCGAACCGTGGGCGACGATTGCCCTTCGACCTCATACCGACAAACGGCGGCGCTTGTCGTGGGGCCGGAACTGTCCCTCCAGAAGACGGTGCAAACTCCCTTCGTACCGAAGGGTCCAAGCCGGGCTCCTGCATTAGAGATTTCGCAGCAGACAGTGCGACGGCAGGGATCTCCGAGCCCGTTTGGATCCCCACCAGCTCGGTGGAGAGTCCTGAGGGGCAGATCATTTCCATCCCTGCGCCCACGGCCCCAAGCCTCGCTCAATGCACCTAGCGACAGTCCTGCCAACGGTCGAGCGACTCTCGTTGCGCAAAGAGGTTGTCATTCTGCGGTTGAAGTTGACCGCAGGTCACAACAAAATAATGTCTCCACTCCTAGCTATTTATGAACCGACAAGGGCGACGCTTCTATTTCAAGATTTAGGATATGGTGCGCTCGTTGTGAACTAATTTTAGTCCTTTATCGCTGCCGTCACCGTTGTCGCCGCCGATATTGCTGTTGGATGAAGAGGAACTCGGTGTTTTCTACTTTAAAAGGAGCCGCGTTGGACGGTAAAGTCTGACGAATAACGGCAGCTTAAAACGTTCGACAAAAAATATGGCTTCTCACACAAGCGGAAGGGATAGCGCAGGACTAGACGCCGTGAGAGTACGTGTTACCCATTGTTTTCCGTTTGGACTCTTATTGATCTTGCAGGTCACTCCCAGCACTGCTGGAGGGCGGCTCATACCGACTGGTCCTGTCCCGGTGGATGTCAACAACCTGAATGCTACTTGGACACGTCTCCAGTTCGTCACCCAGCAGTATGCCGGGTTTCAAAGAGAGGCATGCGATATCCAGCGTACTCTCTGGACCAACATCCACACGTTGCTGGGCCAGAAGACCGCTTTGGAGAAGTCGTGGTGGGATATCAATACGGCATACAACTCCAAGACCGACGAGCTGAACGAAATGGCCGAAAACAGCGTCGTATTGCAAGAAGAGCTCCTGATCGCCCAAGAAGAGACCGAGGCAGCTCGTCGCCAGGCCGAAGAGTCTGAAGGCCGGAACCAGCATCTGGTCGAGCAACAGAGGTTCTTGCAACATGACGTAGATCAAGCTCGTCAGAAGATCCGTGTCTTGGAAAAGGGTGTTGCCCTGCATGAATGTACGACCGGCACTACGGACCCTGCGAAGGGCGCGGCGATTCACGAACTGGATTCAAGCGAGAACGGAATGACCACGGTGAGGACATTGGAGCTTCAAGCCAGGATGAAGGAAATGGAACAAGACTATGAGCATACGGTGGAACGCTACAAGAACGAACTATCCAGCCTTGAAGCACGTCTGGCGGTGGCAGATCAGAAGTTGAAGCAGTTTGAACAGACCACCGACAGAACCCGGACGATGGATTTAATCATTTCACCGGCCGTCAAAAGGGAACCACTGTCTTCAGGCATCGATGAAAACGTCAAGATGGAAGAAAACGAGACCACGGGGGGAGGACGTCGGAGGCAACCAAAGAGAGCTCGACGGGGGCGGAAGCTGGAGCCCAAAAATGCGGACTTGCGGGTAGTATGCCATTGAACGGCGCGGGAGGATGGAGGGAAGGTTAAATTGAGAGACCTGATTCGTTTATCCTCTTTGGTTAGTAGAACGCACCGTCTTCATTTCTCTTTCCGCATTCAGTACCGGCATAATTTCGTACGGTCTGTAGTAGAAAGTTGTCTGAAATCGATTTCTTCTGGCAGCACGTGGGAGGGTCACCAACGTTGTGCGGGTGGCGGACCACCATCATTCTGGCAATGGAAGGCAGACTCTTTCCTGCACCCTATTTCGTGCATGTCAAGAATAGAACAATCTTCTTTCACTCGTCGAGGGGGGGCTTGTTCTGGTCCCCCTTCTTGCCAATCCATCGCCAATCCCCAACGCTTAGCGTGGTTGATGGTCATTTAAAAAAGGAACAGGAAGGAAAATAACACTGCCCAATTCCCGGCCCTGGCAGAGTATATCTGCAGAGACAGTCACTGAGAGCCATCATTGTCTCCAAAAATCGAATCCTCAAAGGGTGTCATAACCTACATGCCACCATGAACATGTCGCGTCAACGCAAAGTTCACAGCCATTCCCCACCGAATCAACCCCCTGCGCTGAGCCCGATGGACGCGTTGATCGACAACAACCAAGGCTCGTCCGTAGCTCTCGAAGCATCTAGGTCTCGACTGGAGGCCTCCAAACGCGCCACACGTCCTACTCCATTGCAGAGAATTGAGCAACTCACCGGGGAGAAGACAGCACTACAAAAAGAGCTCGCGAAATGTCAGAGGCAGGAGAGCGCCAACCGGGCCTTTAAAGAAGAGATGAGGCGGGTTTTAGACCGACTTCAGCAGGCGGTATTTGAGTGGAGAAGAGCCCAGAAGGAGATTGGTGACGATTTCGACACGACTTTGGAGCAACGCGCGGACACGGCCAGCATTAAGGTTGGCTTCCAGAGCCGTGACGTTTGACCTCGGATGGTGGTTCACACTTGCTGTGAAGATAAAATTTGCTTGGTGCGGAGTAGCTCTTGGCCTCCAATGATTCCTCAATTGATTCCCATCATGGGGCCTTCTGTCTATTTGAATCTAGCGGTGTTATTCTTTCTTCCTTGTAAGGCATCCCAACTCCCGTCCATTTGAGACTCCTCTTCCACTGTAACGCAGTAAAACACAATTCATTTTCTTTCGCAGCATGATGGATTACAGTACATAGTGGATGCGCAAAATGTTGAAATCTTTGAAGGGAGGATGCCATCGGCATCATCAGGCCCACAAAGTACACCGGCAGCACCCGCGGAGACCCTCAGGCAATCCATTCGGGCTGCAAACACTGCGGGAAAAAGCACAAAGGCTTCGTGATCGTTCAGGAGCCAAGTGGGTGTCGAGTAGTCCCACACTCTCAACCGATGTGTGGTCGCGGTTGCATCGTCCCTCCCATCAAGGGAGCCGAACTTGGATCTCGCGTCGAAAGTTATGGCGCCCCAGGACCATTTTCGGCTCATGGACTGGAGGGGGCGGCCAACAAGTCCCCAAACTGTGTGTAAATGGGCAACAGCCGAGACGTGCTAGAGAAGCCCAATTCGGACACTTCCAAGGCTGCATCCTATATAGCATCCCTGCCCAGGGACTTGCACTTCTGAATGTCTTTTTAGACGTCGGTCCGTCCAGAGCCTCAAATATCAGCGTTCGAGTGGTACACGGCGAATCGGTCCTAATTCGTTTTCTCTCAGAAACATCTGCGTTTGCACAATCCCAGTCGTGGCCCAAGTTTGTGTCAAAACATGGCGACAGCGAACGACTCTCCCTCTGAGCCTGTGGTTAGTGACAAGAATCCCGCGACGGGACAAGCCCATGGCCTGCCAACGCCAGAATCGACCCCGGAGCCCGACGCTGCCCGGTTGAAGGAAGACGAGAAGAGGCGGCAGGCCAACCTTCAACCTACTGCGGAAGATGACACAGCGAGCCCGAAGCCTTCCGGAGGAGAGGGGAACAATGGGGTGACCCAGGAGCAGATTGATGCCGTAGAGACAGTGATGAAATGCCCGGGTACCGATTACCGACAGATTCTGGGCCTCGGAGACGAAAAGCCAGATAGAGAAGAGGAGTCGAGAGAGGTGATGGCGGCCTTCACGAAGCTTGGATGCTTGACCCATGAAAAATATAACAAGGCGAATCAAGCTGCGGAGGCATTTCTCAGTAAGTGTGAACTCTTGAATCTCGGGGGACGTGGAAAACTGTAAACTGACAATAGCACACCTGCCTGGGATGTAGGAGTCAACGATGCGGCAAAGCACCTCGGGATCAACGAAGCTGCCATAGCGACGATGAGAGAATGGGATGGCGTAGGGGACATTCTCACCGTGCCAGCAAATGACGCAAGCCACGAAAGCTCCGATGAGGGCCGACCGGGCGGACAAGATGCGGACATGGAAGCCTCCGACCAGCCCACGATCCCACCACTGACCGATGATCACCGCAAAGCGTTTGCTGTCGCGGGGGGGCTGCTGCAAGTCCTCTCGGACAGTCCCGATGACGAGAGAGCGATCAACGGCCTGCAAGAGGTGAACCGAAAGATAGTGGAGATCAACACGGCCAATGGATTTCCTAACTCAACTCGATTCGTGGTCGATTTCGAAGTCTATCAAGGGGTGTCCAAGAAGGCGCGCCCTCTTTTAGCTCAATGGAAGCAAAACTCCGATGAAAAGGCTAGGGAGGAGCTCGAAGCGATGAACCAGTGGCTTGACAACTTCATTCAGGAGCGCGGTTACCCTACAGATTGGAAAATCGACATACCACAGCCGTCCACGCAGTCCATCCCACGGAGGCCAAGGCAGTCAACTGCCTCAACAGCAGCCCGCCAAGCTGCCCCAACAGAAGCTCGAGCCCGATCAGGGAAGTTGCCGAAGTCCCTGGCTTTCAATGAAAGGGATGGATACGTCCTCGAAGGAGGGGCCGAGAAGGAACTGTACGGTTACATCAGGGCGGGATATGGTCATCGAGTCTTGCTTCGACGAGACGGTCGCAACGGGTACGACATCTTCGAGTTCGTCCGGGCGAGCAAATTCGGGAAGAGCTTTGTTGAGAGGAACCAGCAGGTGTTGGGGGGGAGAGACATCGAAGCCGGGACCAAGGCTAAATTGCGGGGAATGAGCTGGAACAAAGTGGAGATTTTTGGCGTCGCTCCCGTTAGAACCGACTTCGATGATGAGGCGATGATGATGGCTTGGGTGGCATTTCCTGTGACGGAACCGACCTGGTACTGGCGGTCGCATCTGGGGGAAGAATTTGGAATAGATGCGGTGGACGAAAAACTGAATACCTTTAGGAGGAAGGCAGGGCAGCTCCCTCGGGCCGTCATCGCGGAGGATGAAGCGGAAGAAAGTGAGACTGATGAGGAAGGAGAAGACCAAGAAACCCGATTGCAATATCTGAGGGAGGAAATGAAAAGGTTGGAACAGGGAACAGGGCGAAGCCGACGTTCGTCGAACGCGAAAAGGTCAAAACCGCGGCGAAGAGCCCGATAGGGAGGGCGGAGGGACGAAAGCTTGGACGAACCTGAAGAATCTGTGGAAATGGACCACCTTCATCGAAATTTCGACTGGCGGATGGCCACTTCCAATCCCCGGGCCACCTGGAGAGTGAGTGATGGTTTGTCACACTGAGCGTCGGCGGTCACATCGCTCTTTTCACCGCCAACACGTCTTCCAGACAATCCATCTTCCGGTTGTCTATTTTTCAGCTTGCTTGTCAGTGCCCGGCGGGCACCGACGACCATGGGCAGGGCCAACGACAATGGGCTCTGATCCGCAAGCACGCGCTCTTTTGGTCTATGGTTGAATCCACTCTCTTGATGAGTCCCTTTGTCAAAGGCAGCTGATATTTGTCATTCTTTCGCCTTCACAGACTTCTGATAGTTACAGGTAGTGATGAATAGATTCCGTTCGCTCCGAGTCGTTCACACGTACATCAAACGTAAAGGCGGTCACGATAGGGCTTTGTGGGCGCATCTGCCGCACGAAATTGAGATCTTGGGTAGGATCGTAGTTGTAGGCCGACAGAGGAGGAAATTTCGACGGCGGAATCTTGAAGCCCCTGCTGGAGCGACAGGCCAAAAGCACTCACTCGGTGGACAGAACATGTCGAGCAAATGTCAAAGTGAGCACGGCTTGCTCTTCGCACGGGGGGCTGTGCGCTGGGGCTGCCCACGCCCCTGCACGGCTAATCAGCCGCCCGGGTAACGAAAAAGGAATAGTGCCGGCGGCGCAGAAAACCCCCGTGGTTGGGCTCATAACTCAACAACGACCTTCGTCAACCCTCAGCGATCGATCGCTTCTGCTCTCGCGCTCAGTGCGGTATGGCACCAAAATGGGATCCTGATCATGCTATGAATAGCAGGTCCTGGAAGGGCCATTTCAGGATGAGACCCCACCAAGGGTCGGGTTTGGAGGGGGCCCGTTGTGGAAGCCTTCCCTTTGCACATCAACTTCATCGAAGTTGATAAGGCCGGTTCGCAGTCATACGCTGTTCGGGGGACAATGAAGGCCCCAACCCTGCGCTGCGTTCTTTGTCGCTCTCTTCTGTTGTGCGAGCAGACGCCTCACTTCGGTCTCATCGCGACCGAGCCGAAACCGCCTCTCTGCTGATTCACGAGGCGAACGAAGCCGCCCACACGCCGTGGACGCCGCGTTGTCTCCTGACTCCACGACCCTTGAGCTGGTTGACGTCCTGGAGTTTGATGGCCCTGAAAATCCAAATCGGCTCTCTGCCGCAGGCCAACCACCCTCAGTTAGATCTATCCTTCAGCCTTGATGATGTGAGTCTACTTGTCGCCATGTTGGTCCTTTGCGCTGACCCGTAGGTATCAACCAGTTCCATTCATACCTTCGCCTGTGGGTGGAATCTAACCCCGGCCACCATGATGCGATGCTGTCCGTGCTACAAAGTGTGCTCACCCAAGATGAGGCTCCCAATGACGGCCACGATCAACCGCGGAATGACGACGCGGATGAACATTCCAGCACTGAACCTCATGGTCAATTCGCCCATGGACTTCCCACCCCTCCAACGAGCGTGCGAGCGCTACGACTGGAGGGTTCGGGGGTGGTGGAGTTGACGGCTGTCGAAGGCGGTAGTGGAATCAGTGAAGTGAACGAATGTAAGATGGTGCCGAAAGAGGCCCAGCGACGGTCAGATCAAGATCACCTGCCGGTACTTTTGAGCTGGGGATCACCGACGGATGCAATGGCCACAGGCTCGGACTTCAAACGCCCGGGGAAAACATCGTTCCAGAAAACGTCGCACTCCCGCGTCAAGGAGCCAAAATCGAGGCAAGTGGCGAGACACGACGGCCTTCTCACTGCCGCTATGCTGCAGACCATCGACCGCATAGGGGAAGTGCAGGTGCTGGAAGGGCTGAGGGGCACGATCGCCGAGCTGGAAGCTCGGGCGTGGCAGGATAGCCAAACCTTCAACGAACGTGGTGGTCAAATCATCCCGAAACATCTGACGGATCAACCCGACTCAATGCGGAAATTGTGGCTCCTGAAAGAAGAACTTGTCCTCACCGAGTCGAACGAGCAGATACATCGACTCCGGAAAAGATTGACTTTGGCGGAGTTCTCTCATGCCTACGACGCGTGCGCCTTGCGATATATGGGCATGGGGGGCATCCCCCAGCGCCCGCGGTCGCGACCGGGGCAACGGGTACCCAAGACGGCAATTGGTCGCGAAGCTCGCAATTCGCAACACAAACGAGCGGCCATGGATCATTTCGTGAACCTTCTATTCCCCGGCGCATTACCAACCAGCAAGACGAAGAGAACGGCGCGGAAAGCAGGGACGGTGACCAGATACGCTGCCGCCAGGAAGATTCAAAACTGGAGGGCGGCAGGACAGCCGTGGGCAAACATCATCACGCGCTTTGGCAAAGGAATGCTACTGTTGATACCGGACGAAGTGTCGGACGCATAGTAAGTTCTCTCGCTCAAAGATGACCCCTCTCAATCAGGCGTACCATACTGAAGCAAAACGAACAGCATGCGAACCATGTCAAAAGCCACTCTATCAGCTTTTCTGGATCGTGTCGAGCGGCGAGTGGCGGGCTGGGAAAACTGGTTGCCGACATTGACGCCCTTGGTCGACTCCATCTGCATCAACCATGCCCTACCTCGCGACTGGTTCTCGGAAGAATGCCCTTCGTGGCTCAACGAGGGTGGAAGGACCGATGCACAAATATGGAAGACCGATCCAGATTCGCCGTCCGCTCTTGGCGAGGGAGGCACGGCACCTTGGAGTCCTCTGAGGCAATCAGGCGGTATTGACCAGCAATGGACTGAACCTGGCTTGGTTTTCGACCCCCCCATGGATGCGAATGAGTTGGGCCTGTACATGGCTGAGTCATCCTCGCAATTCGCTCTAGCTCCCCACGAAACCGTTCGGGAGGCCCCTTACACCACCTTCCTGGCATGTCTTGCTGGAGAGACAAATTTGGCTCCTGACCTCTGTTCGGCCTTTACATCCGTGCATGATGGCTTCCCGCTGCCACCGAATGAAGTGAAGGAAGGACTGGGCGTTGATATCGACGCGTTCCTAGCGAAATCTCCCGTATTGCCATCCCTGACTGCAGATGCACCCGGCAATGATGTATCAGATCAAGCATCCACGTCGGTGAATCGTTCATATTGCGACTATCACGACAGCCCCGCGACCTACGCTGGCATGGAGGCCCGCAATGTCAACTGCGAGGACGAGTTTTTCTTTTTCAACTTTCCAGAGGATAGCGAGTGAGTCCCCTTTCATGACATTTCCCATCCAAAGGTTGGACATCCCGGCATGAACGGAACCCGGTATCCTAGTCCAAAAGATGAGAATGATCATTTGTTTCCCTGAGCCTTCCTCCTAACTCATCACTTTTCGGGATATACTCTCTTGCTTGGAAAAGTCTGTTCAAAGCTTTTCTGATGGCCCTGATACATCTTGCGGTCCTCGTTGAGACCCTTCGAGAATATCACTCAGCTGCTAGACACCTATCATCCACCCACATCTCCGCGACTTGCTGCTCGCTTGATGAGTCTTTCAATGCCTCCTGCGTGCCTGCATTTTGGCCAGAGTTGAATGTACGGGATGTGCAACCGCAATGCTCTGCTTCAACCCAGCGTGTGAATAAACATGACTACCTTCAGAGGCACAGTACACCCGAGTCGACTTGAACGAGCCTAAAAGGGCTACCAAATCTTAGGCAGCAGGTTCGGCAAAGACGAAAGCAAGGGGGGCTCAAATGGGTCTCACGGTTCGAGGAAGTCCATGTTCACCGAATATAAATTTATGGCGCTCGGGCTGCACCCAGCTGCTTCTACACCCGCTGTGTGACTATGCCCCGACGCTGGAAAAACCTGCCCAAGTGGCAAAAGCAGAACAAGTACATTCGGTCTGGTTACAGAAAACCATCTTACTCCTACTATGGGT